CTTTAATAATAAGAAGAGGGGTGTTGTTTTCTTCAAGCTTTCCAGCTGAACAACAATGTGCACACACTTTCCAGTTTTACTCTGTTGGCTTTTTGGACATTTTCAAAGAACTGAAAATCATCAAAAACAAGATGATAATACATACGCTCCTATCTCCATCTCCTTCGTGTCACGCTGCCATGATGTCAGGTTGATGGGTCACACTGTAAGTATGATCAGTGCCTCAAGCATATAACCACCAGATCAGAATAGATCATTCCTGGTGTAGACATATAACTGCTTTTCAATCAGAATGATAGGATTGAAACAGCAAATTTGATCATGTAAGTTAACTTAATGTTAAAGCTAATCAAGGAAGGGTTTTGACTTTACATCTCTCAATGGAGGGAGTCAATAACATAGAGTCAACTCATAGTCATTGTAGCAGATATGCATTCACATCCCTCCTACACGTGTCTGAGCTTGTTTTGTTTTTGATTGAAAATCAAATATCATCAAATTGCAAATTGACTTTAAGAGAAAAAATAATGACTTATTTTTTTCTTTTTTAATCTGCATCCATATACAGGTATTGGACTCCAGAAAAGTTTTTCTCGGGCTGTAATGTAAATCATATATTATATATGGCCTCAGCAGCTGTCAGTATATACGGAGATATCGTCTATCAGGCATTATATACAGCTGTGCAGTGATCTGAATATCCATTCATGAATTTCTTACGGTACAAATACATCCACCAATACTAACAATGTGTATGCCCTCTGTGACTGACAAAAAGGACATCATGAATCAACTTGAAAGTGTTTCTGTGATAGATGAAGTTATTATCAAAAAGCTATTCTTTTAGTTGCTGTTCTTTAATTTTGATCAGTAACAGCGGTGAAAGTAATACTACTGTATTTCTTTGTCATCCATTTTCTCTCTGTCAGACACCCATGCCAAAATCACACTAGGACTTCCCATTGTTTAAGGAAAAACCAATGAATAAAATATAAGTGAAAATTGTATTTTTCATATGAATAATGTAAAAGAGGGCACGCTGTTGGCGTCCACGTCTCAAGGTTAGACTATATTGTTAGTTTCCCTGCCCGGCCCCTGCTTTGTTCTTGTTTGGTATGAAATGAGAGGATCCAATTCTATTAAGTCGTCTTTTCTGAGGGACACTTTGCCTCTTCTGCAGGGATATGTTATTCCAGGGACTTGAAAGACAAATTCCACACCCAGCAGGAGGTGTGTCGTGTGAAGGCAGTGCCATATGGTGTGACTCGGAGAATATGCCAAAACTTTTCACCCCGGCCTGTTTCCTTCACTCTGTCAATATCAACTGTTTCTAACCAGGAGGTAAATGGAGGGGGATGAGGAAAAGACCGGTGCAACTTCACACAGATTTATGTGCTTATATGACAGATGATGACACTTAACTGATTGCTTCACGCCGCAACTATTCTCAGAGGAAATTTAAGTTTGATATGTGACTCCCCATCAACAGACAAACCACTTACTCTCAAAGTTTAAATTCATCACTCTCAAAAATCTGTCCATCAAACAGCAGCTGTGAGTGAACCGTGTGAGAACGGTCATGCAATTCATACAAAAAGTAGCAGAGATGGGCCGCACTTTTGCACAGGACTTGAGCTGACATGCCACTGCATGATTCATACACAGCTAATAAAACTCTGTGTAGATCTGCTGGACTTATCTGGGCTCCTGTATCGATTGTCTGCCTCTTATTTATAGCATACAGACAAATAGGATAATCAATCATGAATCATGAGACATTTGGGCTACAGTATTTTCTATTATGAATGTGGGTCATCTTTTCCTGCCTTTTTTACAGAGAATAAAACCTAGTATTACCCCTCCGTACTTACTGTTTCATATTTAGATCGTTTGTATTGAGCATAATCTAAAATTTACACCAGGAAATCAGGTTTTAACTTCAGATAGTGGAGCGAGAGAGGATATTCGAAAAATTAATGTGCTCCTGCAAGCGTTACTGTAGCAATTATTTTCCCTATTTTACTCTATTTGTCATTATTTGTATCACTGTGAGCAGTGTTTGCCTCTTGTCTTTTATGAATTCCAGAGAAATGTCATAATTTGCACCAGTAAATATTGTAAAACATCCCATTCCACTCTGCTGCAACTGCCTGGTAATACACTTAATCTTCTTCTACCCCGTGAGCTGGCAAGGGCAGCTGCCTGAATCTACAATTGCTTTTGCTTTCTGGCGAGATCGTCTCATTTTTTGGGAGGAGGTGCAGGCTGCGCTTCTGATCTTCTGAGAGAACAACCCTTGTGAAGCTCATCCCTCGCAGGATCCAGCCTCCAAATTGGGACATAACTGTTTGGACTTTCAGCTTTTATCGCTCTTTGATGTACCAGATCAGTGAAACATGTCTTAACAATTGCCTGAATATTGTGGATGTTGAGTTGGGGTTTGCATCTGAGGCGAAATTCAAGCAACAAAAGCTTTAGTCATTTGAGCTTTTGTGCACCAAGCATGCCAACAACTCCTGAAGCAAAGTGCAACAAAAACTGTATTCATGCATGAAAAGCGTGCAGCAAAACCCACGAAATCTAACTCCAAACCCAGTACAGATGGGTGAAGTGAAATGACTGAGTGAAATGTCTCAGAAAAAGACAAAAACCAAATTTAGTAATTAAGGAACATTATTCTTAGATTGTTCAATCAATTGCTCACACAGGCTCTCACAAAGTAATGAATCTCTTCCCACTTCAACTTCTGAGAGACTCAGCCTCTCTGAGATGCCCTTTTGATTCCCAGTCATGTTAACAACCTGTCAAAGATTAACCTTTTTAAGTAGGGAGATGGTCTTTTATGTTTTTCATCATTAGACTACTTTTTCAGCGTTTTATGGTCCCCATCCAAGTTGTTCTGAAACATGTTACCGGTATTGTTTCATTCAATATGTCGCACTAACTTTCAATTAAACACAGGGTTTGAATCTCTTTTTATCAACATTTTACTCAGTGTCCCATCTTTTTTTTTAATTAGGGTTGCAATTGATCAGTTAAGCTTTTATATTATTCCAAAAAAATTACATGACACTAGCTGAATTAAAAGATTGTTCTTAGTATTCAAATAAAGATATTCATCTCCATTAACGTCGGTATCTCTAAGGTTTCTGCCAAATACAAGATAGTATCTCGTTACAAAAGACCTTATGACATCAACTACAAGCAAATCTACATGAAAGCCTCAAAGACTCTGCCACAAACTCATGCATTTCACAAGCTGATCCCGTACCAAGCACACAGCAGAGAAGCTGAAATGAGAAATGAGACACAGCCAGCAATACGGGCAGCTTAGTCAGCTTGCTCACATTTGCCAAGCTCAAACAGAATGCCCCGAGCCAAGACATCTACTAAAAGCACAAGCAGCAAATACATACTGTGGTTTCCCGGCATCTCCGCAGTGAGTGAACCCCTTTGGAAAAGTCACCGTGGTCCCGAGCTGCCAGCAGCACAGACAGGTTTCAGCAAGTAGCCTTGAAGTGGTGAAGTCTGAGCACTCTGGTGTGAATAATAAGGGCAAGCAGAGGAAATTGTCAGGTTAAAAAGGTCACCCTGCACACCTGTATGATTGACTAGATGTCATTCCCAATAGAAAAAAAGTGCTGTCCAGACGCCCACTCATTTTCAGTAAGTGCCCATCCAGTTCCTAAGTGGAAAAATGTTGAAAATACTAACTCTCTTCAGGGAAAGGGGACTTTTCAGCAACTAAAAGGACATAAGAAGTAACAAAATGCCACTCATGTGACAGAAAACTTCCTCTGATGAGGTGAAGTTGGTTTAAATTAAAGTCAATTGCCCTGTCTGTCACCAGCTTTTATACTTATCACAGCAGGAGAAATACAAGAAACATTATATTTGCTAATTACAGCCCTGTTTTTATGTTGTCCCATCATAACATACAGATGACCCGGCACGGTGCTCAACTGGCTCAGTTAACTGAAATTTATTTTTTAGTTTCAAAGCTTTCAAACTTATGATTTTTGCATGGCTATCAGCACAGCTTACTTAGGCATAGGCACAGTGTAGCTGTTAGCGAAGAGGCTAAACGTCTGCCTCAATCCAGCTCTTTCCCTCTAGCTAGGTTAGCCGAAAGTCATGTTTCCAATAGGCTTTAAAACCCCTCTTCAGACACAAGTGGGAAAAGTCACTGAGACAACATGTGTTTCCCACAGTCTGTGGCTTCGGCCTGCTAGCTTAACTGAGTTAGCAGGCCGTTAGCATGCTACACTGGTGCAATTTTGTTAAGATAAGTTGATTAAAATCAATGTTGCTGATGGTTCTATGGGAAAAAAAACACCTTTTTGGTGTAGTTGGCAAAGTCTAAACTGTTCAGTTGAAAGAAAAAAAGGTTTCTTAAATTAATTACAATTGTTCCTCTCTTACTTACATTAAAATGTTTCATGCCCTTCAAAATAAGGCTGAAGTAATATTTGGATAGTTATTTTCTCAAATATCCACACTTAAGACACAAGTGGGAGACGTCACTGAGAGAACATGTGTTTCCCACAGTCTGTGGCTTTTGGCCTGCTAGCTTAACTGAGTTAGCAGGCCATTAGCATGCCACACTGGTGCAATTTTGGTAAGAGTTGATTAAAACCAATGTTGCTAAGTGGAAAAAACACCTTTTTGGAGTAGTTGGCCAAGTCTAAGCTGTCCAGTTGAAAGAAAAAAAAGGTTCTCTCAAATTAATTACAATTTTGACTCTCATACTTACGTTGAAATGTTTGATGCCCTTCAAAATAAAGTAGAAGTTATATTTGGACAGTTATTTTCTCAAACATCCAAAAAAATAGGTGGGGAAACGTTTTTTGAACAGGTGGCAACAACTTCACAAGTATTCTTTTACATTTTGCCCATTTTTTATCGTTAAACTAGCTTAAACATCAAAATAAAACCGCCCACTATAGAGTGACTGATACATCTCCATCTGCTCTGACGTATCCGCGCTGTTCCTTTAAGACAGACCCCGCCCACTTATCATGTGACCAAACAAGGAAGTTTGAATGCAGCGGTACTGAGACTAAAGTGAAGCTCGTCTGTGTTTTCTGTGATGTTTACCACCACACCTAAATAATCGTTCGGTTTGACAGTCCACTGAATCGATCAAGACTGTGTGACAGAATAAAGAAATGAACAGATAGTGACGATCGCGGTCGAGGGTGTACTTTACTGTCCGTGCACCGTTTGATGACAGTCAAAATGTATTTCTCACTCCTGGTTCCTGCTATAATTTCACTGTTTCCACTCGGACAGGCGTCACTCCCGCTGGTTATCAATACGTGGCCATTCAAGAATGCAACAGCTGCAGGTAGGACACAGTTCATGATGCTTTTACGTGTTTGCACAGCCTTAATCACAAAGTTTCAGTCAGTCTGCAGGTCAGTCACGTGACATTGTTTCGAAATCTTGCCAAAAAATTGATGCAAAAGGTTTTTTTTAAAAATACACTTCCCCAAAACAGCACGTATTTGTGGATTTCAGGACATTATTTCCTCAGTTTATCGTTAACTAAGAGCATTAATGTGTAAAGCGCTGACTCTGCACTTATCTAGGGCAAAATAATGTCATATTTTTTATGCATCTTTCCTTCAGTAGGGGAGAGTGGGGTAAGATGAGCCATTTTTCATATTTCTGGTCACTACATCAAGGCAATCATACTTTTGTCTCTAACTAGATAATCTGCATATATTTCAAGATGTTGTGGATCCCTGCAAACCAACAGAATGAGTGTAAACATAACTGTCTTGATTATATAGCATGCCAAAAAAAAGTGGTCTCCTATGGTCAACTTACCCCGTGTATGGGGTAACATAAAGCTGTTCAGTTACAGTAACTTGAGTAAATCTTATTTGTTTTAATCTACCCCTGCTTTTACTTCTGATTGAAAACTAAAACCGTAGTATGGTTGACATAAGTTTCCATTACCTTCACTGTTACTAAATCTGTTTTTTATTATTGCAAAAATCATAAAATTGTTCTAAAAAGAGGAGAAACAACAATGGTTAACATGCATTATTGAACCCATCTGTGTTTGCAGAAAGATCTCAATGACACCTTAAAAAAGCAGAAGTTGGATATATCCTGCTCTTGTGCTGACAGGCTGACATGGCTTGTTTTTTCCAGGATGTCATCTCCTGTTTGTAAGAGATGTATTTACTTTAAACCCTGTAATTGTTTCTGCATATCTAACAGCCTTTCCGCTGCTGAGGTGTTTGTGTTTTTAAAAAATGTACTTTTTTTGGCATATAGTGATGACTATGCACACCATGACATTAAATGACTCAGCCATTAGGTGTCTCATCATGCGGCTAACTGAGGCAGCTTGACATGTCATCATCGAATTATTCTGCTGGAAAACAAAAACAACATTTAGTTTGATTGTGGAGTTAAAGTGGCTGCAGTGAGGACACATTAGAAATACTCACAGGGCTTCACTAATTCTTCTCTTTTGGCTTGATTGTATTCAGATTGACCTTTTGAAGCCTAATAATGAGTTTGACAGAGCAATAATTGACATTTTGTTCATTTTAAGATAAATTTCTGCAGTAATTTGTGAAATGAAGATGCAAGTCACCCTTTGAATCAGATCTACTTTTATCTATCATTTGTGGCATTTTAAGATATTTTGTTTCCTGCTATCTTATTAACTTATTAGCCGAGAAAATGTTAAGAGGATTAAACGATAATGAAGACAATTGTTGCAGCTCAAAAAAGTCTGTTGATTACTTCCTGCAATATTAAGCCACATCAATTTTTTGATCCTTCTTTGAGACAGAAAGCCAAATTCCTGTTTGTTTGTTAGATTTTAATCCTGGACAAACTCCATGACCACTATTTTCAAAACTTTTCCCTCACACTGTTTGAAAATGCTTTTTTGGAGTATATTTGAGAAATGCATGACATTAGTATCTGTATTCACTGATAAAAGCTGAAAAAGTTAATAAGGGGAATCAGCGGGTATGAAAATTTCTGCATGTGCTATTCATTATGCATGCGCAACATCTTACATTCACCAACAAGAAAAACAACAACTATGAAATTCAGCATCTTCTTGCTGTATTATGCAAAGTCTACCTTGGAACAGCTTATGTCGCTCCAAAAACCTCTATGTACTTTTCAACACTTATGGTACATTCCCAGATGTATAAGCTGCCATGACATGGACATCTATATCCCTGTATCATCAGTAATGCTTTTGAACTGTGCTCTTATAAAACACTGGTGAACTGAAGACACGGGGTGCAGGATTTTTCAAAAAGATCACAAGACAGTTTTTCACAGTCCATGTGAAATGGACTCAGGCCCAGAGAGGAAGCTGACATTTCTGGATCATGTTCATACATGATATACAGTGTCCACTTAACCTTCCTCCTGTGTTAGCTTTTACTACGCACCCACTATGTTAAGGGTCAGTTTTTGACCCGTGTCATAAATCAGCTTTAAATTACATTAAAAACATTTGTCTGTCATCCAGTTTGGTTCTCATCTCTAGGTCAACTTGTTAGGCTTCATTATCCATGAAAATATTGCTTTTAATATTTTTTGTTGGAAGTGATTTCAGCCTGTGCAGAGGTTTATATATCAGAATCATGTTTTCTTTTTTATGTAATTTACAGCCGCCTGAGGGTCACAGCCTTTCAGTTTTCTTGTCCCTTTTGCACAAAGATTTCTCCAAACTCTCTGAATCATTTAGTTTTATTATGGTCAATAGATGATGAAGTTATTATTATATGTTTGTGTTGTTGCTGTTGTTGAGGAATATTATTCTGAAACATTTGAACTATATCTGTCCCTCACAGGCTGACAATTCTCTTTCTGTTTTAATGAAAGTGCCCTTGTTCCACCATTTATTTCAGTATTACACATCTATGTCAAAAAGGTGCAAATATATCAATATCTTTATTGATACTGACCAAAATGAGTTTGAAAGTATTGGCATGTTGGACATTGGCCCAAATTCAATCTCATGTATTGCTACCGTACCTGTAACCCCAAACCAAAGCTGCACGTGTTGAATTATCAGTCACAGATGAGGATGGGACATGGACAGGATCCACTAGACATCACAGCTGCCTTTGCCAGGTCTGCCGCCACTCTATTCGATTTCCTTCAGGATGATACATTGGACATGTTGAAATTGAAACTGGAAATATTTCAGCAATGCTGGAGACTAATCCGTCAAGTGGATTTCCACCAGGTGAAAAACCTGAACAGAAAAAGAAATGATAGAACCGGTGCTAAAAACATCTCAAGCAACACATCAAACCTGAAGTTCACTTGAAAACCTCACCAACTGATGGATGGATACCCTTTAATTCATCACGTATATATCACCTCTTTCCCCTGAGGTTGGTCTGAAAATGAAAAATGTACCGAGCTATCGGTTCTGCAGGGAGATATTTAAAAGTGTAGTCTGCGAGCTCTCACTATTGATCCGCCCATGCAGATCTCTTCTCCTCTGGGGGCTTACAGAAGCAGATGACAATAGCGGGCTAATCTCTTCTTCTATCCTGCTGAATTTACTAAGTGAGAAAAATGTAATGCTGAGTTTGATGTAATAGAAAAAGAATCAAATCCTGAGACAAGAGCACTTACCAAAGTTTGTAGATGGACAGAATTTATGGGTGGATGAATAAGAAATAATAGAAGGAGGAGGAAGTTTGTGGTGCTATCCTACTGATCACAGTGCAATGGTCTGAGAATTTAGTGGCAAGCTGGTGGCACTGCAGCAGTTGGTATTTTGATCCCCCATGGGCACTTGGGGGATCAGTGACCAAATGCTTGTCAGCTCACAGCCCCCCAGTGTGCGGGAAATCATGCTGGTCATCTTGTACATCATTTCAACCTCTCACTGGCCTCGTGTGAAAATAAGGATCCAATTATTAACTCAACAGATTCAACACAACCAGTTTCCCAAAAAGAAAACACTGACAGGCCAGGAGGATGTATCGTTGCAGGATCGGAATATTAAACCTAATTTCATTGGATTTATAGCATTATAATCAAAACAGCCTCCAAAATCACTGCACATTAAAACCCGGTGATTAATCACATTTCAATTTCAGTTGCACTCGGTGCTCCTCATGATCATAAAAATATGATAATCCAGACTGAATAATGCCCTGCCTGCTGTTCTCCCCACATTTGGTCCTATACATTGAATGAAGCCCACCCTCCCTCTCCTCCGTAACAGCAGAGCGTGGGCACGACTCCTCCCCTCAAACAGCTCTTACTTCATCAGAAGCAGCTGGGATCAATGTGAAGCAAAGTTTGGGAGCACAAGGAAGTCACTGCTCCTGTTGATATGAACTGTGGACTGCTGTATCTTCAAAACATTGTTCAACAGCTGTGTGTGTCTGAAAAACAGAGTGAGCGCTGATGAGTTAACCACTGTTGGGCTAAAAAGTAGGCAACACTATTCTGAATCCAAATACAGTACAGGAGGTCATTCAGAAAAGACTGAATGATTTCTTAGATCTGCAGCCTGTGATGAAATGTAAGAGCTCAAATTCATTTTTTATGACTATGAGGGAAATCTGGCTTTTTAATTGAGTAAGTGTTATTACCGAAGTTAGAGGTGGGGTAGGCAGGAATCTGTTAAAGAAGCATCGTTTTTTGTGGTGAATATACAAAAAAGCTTTTAATATCAGTCAACAGCTATTAGTTATTGATGACATTTGGTAATATAACAATATCGCTGTGTTCTCTTATGTCTGTGTAGTCAACATGTTAAAATTTCAGAGCGCTCCGCTCTTTCTGACTGTAAACAAAGCCATTCTCCACCTCCCCCAACCTGATTGGTTGTGAGGCAGACGCTGCTCCCCCGTGCCGTTCATGAGCCCAGACAAAAGTTAGCGTGCTACGATATCGGTCTGTAGAAACCGACCAGAAAGTTCGGAAAATTGTCAGAATCCTCCTTTGGCCACGACTGCCGACACAAGCAAGAAAACAAAGTAAATACTGGAGACTCTGGCGGAATAATGGGCACTTAAAAAGGAGGTAGACCACCCAGACAAGAGCTAAAAAAGTCGGGTCAACAACGATAAGGGGATGCTTTGGGATCTTACAGACCCTGTAACCTTTCTGCTGGACAGGTAAACCACTTTAACAAAGTAAGCCAAGTGTAACAGAAGTGTTTCTTGTCAAATGGGACCTGCTGCATGTTGTAGCGCCACTAAACTGTTTACCTCGGGTCCTGGACTATGTCACTTTATCCTCGTTGTAGAAGTCCTGCAAACATTGTGTTTGCTGGTAGTCTGTTTGCATCTACAGTAGCACCAATGCTTTTTACTTTCATGTTGACTGGGCCCCATTTGTAATTATCTGAAGTATTTATCTGCTTTATATCTGAATTTAATTGGAACGATACGAACAAGCAGGAGTGTCTGTTTGTGGGCGGGGCTTGCTGGAGCAGAGAGGGAGGGGAGAGGAGGAGCTGAGGGGAAAACTAAGTGGGAGGGGTAGAGTTTACATTCAAGATTTCGCCTAAAAACTGGCACTTCCTCAGATCCTGCCTACCCCACCTTTAAGCTAAGTGAAGTGAGAAGTTGATGCACGGTCCCTCTCAGTAGTCATACATATGACTTTGAAAAAAAAATAGATTATGTTTTGGTGAGGACATTTTTTCCTCTTATTTCCAAACTTCTTTTTCTCTCTGCTTGGGTGTTCATCCGTCTTGAGTCAGCAGCACTAAGTGACCTCTCCCTTCATTTTCAAACATGGGGTCGAGCTGCCAAATGTTTGCACCACTGTGGCCTAAACTCAAAAGTACATTATCCAACTCAGTGGAGGGTGTTCATTTAGTTTCCTGGGTGCTACATTATGAATTTCTTGTCAGTCTGTATTATATTGAATGTATAACTGTACTCTGCTCTGCTCTGCAGCGTGGAGTGTCCTGCAGTCCGGAGGCTCTGTTTTGGATGCGGTGGAGAAAGGTTGCGCTCGCTGTGAGGCAGAGCAGTGCGATGGCACCGTGGGTTACGGCGGGAGCCCAGATGAGACCGGAGAGACCACGCTGGATGCGATGATCATGAACGGGTAATTCACGTTTCTATTTTTGAAACAAAGCTCAGCTTCTTGGTAAAAGTTTGCATCTCCAGCTTCTTGTCAAACTTAATTCAATAAAGCGAGAAACGAGAAATTGACGATTTTCTTAATTACTCATCACTTAGACTTCTCTGACAATGACCTGATGTTGTCCACTCTCATTAGGAAGCTGGAGCTGTCAACACAGTGTGTAGCTGGCTCATAATACTTTCCTAGTGCAGATTTCTTCGCCTTAAAAATTTACAGCTCTAACTGGCTGACCTTTTTTTTTCCCAGCCAGCCTTCCTGTAATGAAGCACTAATTAAGATTCTCATTACATTCTGAAAGGCAACAAGTTATTAATACCTGGAGTACAAACATTTATGCACTCAGAAGTTATTATGAGAGGCAAATGTCAGCTCGTAATGACAGACAAGAAGCAATAAGCAAGCTGTTTGTTATTCCCCGCGTGCAATGTTCCTTCCCCATTTTGCAGCTCTGTTTTTAGTCACACAGTCATGAATACATTGCTTGTGTGTGTGTGTGTGTGTAGGGGGGGCTGGGCGGGGAAAGGGTTGGGGTGTCTCCTACACACAATCCAATACAGCTGCATAAGTAATACAATAGCCACACTGGCACACTTTGATCGAGCACGAGGATCGAAACACCTGCGCTGCTTAAAAAAAAGAATCCTGTAGAGCAGCCCTGCAGTGAATGCTGGTCCTGTAATAATGTGAGAGTGTATCATGTTCAGTTTCTTGTGTAGGAGGTTTTAACTCTGAGGCATTTTGTGAGATTTAAGTTTGGCGGAGTGGACAAGCATCAAGTTTTGTGTTTCTTTCACAACTGCAACCCATTACATCACCGCCATCATAAAGAGCGCGCATCACTCTGACAGCCAAATAAAACTCCACAGGGTCCTGAATATCCATCAGATAGTCTTTTAGATCCACTCATGTCAACAAAAGTCTTTACATTGAACATTACTGATTACCTGCATTACATAAGACGTCTGTTTTTTCTTGGTAATAAGCTAATACATAAATATCTTGACAATATGATCCGTAAAGTTAGTCTGAGTTTAGTTAAACATGACTGACATTGCTTACAATTTTGTGCAAATCAGAGTTTGATATAAGGGTTAGTTGATATTGGCCAGTCTGAACATACTGAAATTGTAACATACATGCAACATATTATTATTTTTTCGCTATCTTTTTATTTATTTAGTTATTTGCAGAACATATAGCAAAAGAAAAACCCACATTCTTGCCTTTATTTAGACACTGACTCAACAATATGTTTTTCCAGTACAGCATGCTGCAACACTCCAGTTTGATTCTCTCTGCACTGTCTGCAGCACACATTGCATAGTGTCTAAGACAAGCGGATGGAAGTTTTGGCTTCAATTGATTGAGATAATAATGCAGCATTTTCTTAAAAGTGGTCATTTTACCAAAGAAGAAAGTTTTTAATTATTTCCTGCTTCAGGTTGTTTGTGCAAAAAATCTGCAAACAAACCACAAAAACGGTATTTTGTTTTCATTCCAGTTCAAATACTTATTACATCAGTCACCAAATCTGTTCATCTGAAAATTGTACTAGTAGCTGTAAAGTGGCTGCAGGTAGACCAGCACTAGTTGAGTAACAGCCCAAAGTCTGACAGGCTCCAGTGTTGTTGAATAGCATGAAAACGCTGCTATAGGAGGCTGGGTAGCAAACAAAAGCTTGACAAAGACAAGACGTAAAAAAACTTTCTTGTTATCATTAGGCTCTTGCTGTCATGTATTGGTGATAGTTTTGATATTTAATACATCAACTGACCTGATTGTCGCGAGCTGAAAGGCAGTACATCTTCACCTTCAGGAAGAGAGAAGGACATCTGTTCCTGATTTTTGCCCTGTGCTCAAAAACTGGGACAAGAATAGAAGTTAAATCACCTAACCAAGTTTTGACTGCAAATCAACCTAACTTTGCATGTAAACTTACTATCTCCCTGTGTAGTTTTCTTACAGACATGAGTGAGACCACATGTTTTGCATTAATTATAAAAGTTAGACTTTTCCTTCCTTATCAGAGTTTACTAAAAAAAAAAGGCTGAAACCTGTCCCGTGTACAACCTGCAGAGCTACTTTTGCACAGATGGATCTTTTATCACTTAAGCCCCTGGTAATGTTTGTTCTTTTTGTTCCCTATGCGCCCAGAGACACAATGGAGGTGGGTTCAGTTGCAGACCTGAGAAGAATCAAGAATGCCATCGGAGTGGCGAGAGCTGTGATGGAGCACACTGAGCACACACTGCTGGTAGGAGAGTCAGGTAGGAGTGGATGATGTCCAATCATGTCTAAAGCAGTGCTCTTATTTTGAAATCCAGCAAACAAGCAGGACACAAATTCAATTTACTTAACCAAAGGGATCTTATGCTCTTTTTATTATCATTTTTTTGCTATGTAGAGCTAAAAAAGGCAGTAAATAATATTTTAAAAGACCTCCTGATACTTGAATCTGCATTAGGCATCATCTCCATCAGGCACCTGTCATATTAGGGCCAAAGCACTTCAAGCACTTACCATAATGTGTGTTTTTCTGCAACACTTGAATAAGCCTCAATCTCTAGATCAATAACATCAAGAGGTTAGCGATGATTGCTTGGGTCAGAAGTAAAGTACATTAAAAATGCTCGGTACAGAAATAGAACGATTGTATAACAGACTAATGCCTAAAAAGGAAAACATACAAGTGTTATCTTGGCATTTCCATGACAGCAGCAAATTGATAGGCACCGAGAAGAAAGCACATTCATCTATCTGCAAGCTATTAGATGGAAAGTGAAGGCCAGTCTTGAAATATGTTATTCCTCTAAGATTAATGGGCTCTATGTGAAGAATTTAGCTTATCAAAGAAGAAAACTTTATTTTTCTATCAAAAGGCAGTTTTATAATCCACATATTCAGAATAACTGCAGCATCATCCTGGCAGAAATGATAAGGTCACCTGTCCTCGCTCAAAAGCCAAAGCCTCAACAAGATGAGGTTGCCTCCAGTGGCTCTTTTATTCGTGACCCTTTGTTTTTCTCCAACCCAAGGTCAGCGTGGCCCAGAATGTCTAACCTGACCCTGAAAGTTTTCCTCTCCTCTCTTTTCCTCACAGCGTCTGTGTTTGCCGAAAACATGGGCTTCATCGCAGAAGACCTGACTACCAACAAATCTATGAATATTTTCTCACAGTGGCTGAAGGGCAACTGCCAACCTAATTATCGAAAGGTGTGTATGTGTGTGTAGAAGGGTGTGTGTTTTCTCACTTGTGTTGGCTACAGGCGCACTGCTTCTAAAAGATTGATATTAAGCAGGGAAATTGACAGGCATACTCAAGTAGTTCATCAAAAGTCAGCTCTTGCTGCAGAGGTGATGCCCTACAGCTCAGGTCTTGCTATTCTTTAAAACTAACACATTCGCTTCCCCAATAACACCTCAAAATCTCCAGACTAAGTTTTCTTTTTCCTTTTAAGTTGGCTGTGTTGTTCCAGAGAGAGTATGCAGGGCTTTATTGATTCACTTCACAGTATCTGATACTCGGGGCCGTCAACCAAACATAGACTGTTTTAGAACTGGTCCTCAGTTGTGCCACTAGTTTGGACTAAAATCCATCAGTTTCTGGACTTTGGTTTGGCTTCACTTTTGTGCTTAGGTTGCCTTTCTTTTTACATTTGAGCTTGTATCTTGGTTTTTAGGTAGTTTTTGACTAGTTGGGAATATGTTTTTTAAATATTAAAACTTAAATGCTTTTAAAAGACACAAACAAATGTTACAGATCATAAACTAAATGTTGCAAAGTTTAGTTTGTTAATAAATCAACTGAGAAAAGAGGGAATTTCTCAACAGGTTGCATACTTTCTTTCAGCCTGTGTCATTGCCCCCTGCTGGTCGTATTAGAGAATGCAGATTAAAGGTACTTTTATACGCCTCATTATTGTCATGACAACCATAATCACGTGGCCATTAAAACTAGAATATGAGTAAATGAAGGTGAGATCTAGAGCGAATAAATAGCTAATTTGATAAAGGTAGTGTAAAACTAGACCCATGCTGGCTGATCTCCCAGTACTCCCAGACTATTTTTATGTTGTAACTTTTGATGCCCGAAATGTCGGTGCGAGGGGGTAGGTGTCAGCTGAGCAGCAGAAAATGACAGTCCCGTTTTTGTAATTTTTACATTAAATATTCAAAATAAATGACACATTTGACTATGAAAAGATTAAACAAAGACTGTTCTGTCCACATGCGTCGCTGAAGTTGATAAAAACTTTAAGTTCCTAACAGGAGCTTTAAAAATGCTTGCCCATGTAGATTCAACTGCTAGTCACACTTCCATGGCATCGTTTTTTAGGGCAGAATTACAATAAACTTAAATGTTTTTATACGTGTTTTACTGATATACATCTCTTTAAACCTAATTTCCCTCATGTTCTCCCGTCATCCCTCTCCTTTTCTGTTGGTTTTATCTCTTCACTCACCAGTCCTTTAAAGGGATATTCCAGCGTAAATTTAAGTTACAGTCAAACACACCATAACACCGAGTTAGACACCCCCTCGAGAGATGAATGTTGTCGACTGCTTGCTTCTCTAGTTATACAGCTTCAGCAACGACCGCACGATAGCAATACACAGCAGTGTACACAACTCACCCACTCTCCTCCAGCAGCCGCTTATTTGTGAGGGAGCCCTGACGAGTCGATCACCGAGTGCAGAGGAGTTCTGCAGCTCAAGGAAGAACATTTATGATCATTACTTCATGGAAATACAATCAGACCAAGACGCTAAGGCGGAAAAACTACTGCGCCTGCAGTGCAAAATGATTATTATGATGATTATTACTTCATGGAAATGTCGTGGAATATCCCTTCAACTTTGCCAAACCATGTTGCCATGATGGTTGCTGCTTCATGTTTGTTTTCTTCAATTCGATTGATGTCTCTGTCATTCATCTTTGTTTGCTTTTACATTGCTTGTTAGTTTCTGCATGGTTTCCCTGCAGTCTTCTTTCTCTGCTTAGTTCTGATTTGCCATGAAACCATAAATCTAAAGTTTTGTCCAAAACTCTCAAAGTAATTTGAGAATAATGTTAAAAATGTTCACCTTGTCGTCAGCCACTGCTTTTGGAAATTAACTGAACATATGCGCCAGACTCCTTTCAAGGCAGGTTGTCCCTGATGTCACTTGTTATCCAGTTTCATAACTTTCAATTTGGGGATTTTGACCAATTAGAGTCAGGTATTTAACACAGCTGGTGATCAGTTAAAAAGCCAAGAAATAACAGTCTTTGCACAATTACTCATCTATTACTTCCACAAGTCATATTTTCTGTGTTAAAATCAAGCTTTGTGAATTCTTTTGTTAGATTTCAGCTTGTTGCTGAAGTCACAGGAGACCAACGACAGCTGAATGTTTTATAACGAAGGCGAACATTTTCAAGGGTTTTACTTTCACCTTCATGAAGAAGAATATAACAGAGTTTGCTTCATGAATAATATGCAGACAGTTTTATAAAGCAGACTAGTTGATCTAAACTTTGTTTTATTGATGGCACCATTGAAGCTGTTCAGGCAGTGATGCTGAGCTGTACTTTCAATAAGAAGAAGAAAAACCTTTGTTTTAACATTTCTTGTGTGGCGCAGTCTCATGTTTTGTGAATTTTAATGAGATTTTTCCTTTTTGGAGAAAGTCTTTCAAGAGAGACAGAATTAACGTTTTTTACCTAGCTGCAGGTCAAGCTGGTACAGTCAGTCAGTCATTGTAAGAGAAGAGATGGCGCCTTAATGGAGAGAGAAAAAGAAACCTTCATGTCAGACTACACTAGACTCTGGTACAGTAGATGTCACTCTTTATAGAACATGTTATGTGACTGCTGGAGGACACGTTCTGTCTGCAGCAGGAGATCCAGACAGAACAGGACTCCCTACTGATTATTAATCTCTGCTTTATTATTCTCCCACTCGGTGACAAAACTGCTTATGGTTTTGTTACTTGACATCACAGCAGATCACAGCAAATGCTCGCAATTTACCATATGCCCGTGTTTAATTACAATAATTACACCAAAAATAATGAACAGGGTTATTTATGAAGCAAAACTAAAACAATGCATGGAGGCAGGTTCAGTGAGAAACTTTACATACTTGGAGAACAAAACTTCTCTGCACATATATGCATTTATAATTATAAGCATTGTTCGGAGAGTTTAACAACTTGTGAGGTGAACACAGTGCAAAGACTGCCTCATTAGATGCAAAGTGTAAGGGGCACTTATAGATCATGTAAGTGAAATGCTGTGTACAATTATAAGAATCCAGGGTGAGAGTGTTTAAGTATTCTGGCGTTACGTAAACAGTTTAGTTTTCTGTCTATTTCCTCTCAAAAGAACATGATTCCAGATCCGACCACGTCCTGTGGACCCTACAAGCCCAGAGCGATGCTGAAGCAGAGCAAGAGGGCACAGCATGCAAACAGACGCTCCCATGACACCATCGGTACGTTCCATAATCTCCTAATACTGAATGTACAATCATCTTCCCTCAGGCGGTCCAGAGAGTGAAGCATTAACACTTGAATATTGAGAATAGACAGAGGTGAGAGGAGGTTTTGCAGCAGAGTGTTCCTACAAGGAAGTGAGCTGATGAACTAAAGGTTAGAAGTAAACAAAGCACTCTGGAGGACTCAAACTTGTTCATTTGCATCCGCTCCATTACTAAACTTACCTGTCCAAACTTTTTAATTTAGTCTGAACTGGATTTATGTACTGATCAGGGAGTCTGGAGTTGTTTTATAATTTAGTGTTATGCTCACAAATAATTCAAGCAGCGATCCTATTACCTCTTATGAGGGCTTGACAAGATGGAGTTTAACTTTCTGGAGGTGTAAGGGCAGCTTGCGATGGATGGCTTTTAATCTAGCTTTTTTTCTGTGTTTTTTAAACCAGGGATGATTGCTGTTGATGGAAATGGTCATGTGGCTGCTGGAACATCAACAAACGGACTGAAACATAAAGTTCCAGGGTGTGTAGATTATCTGATGTCAGTGTGTGCAAGGTTGACGCTCAATCTGCGGAAATCATCAACATCAGTCCTCTGATATCATTGAGATGTCCCTGATTAACACCGATGCCAAAATACATAAAACCACAATTAAAGTGAATCAGAAAGATCAATACAGAGACAGAGAGAAGAACTGCACCTTGGTTAGAGAAGTTTGAGATGATCGACCTGTTTCCATTTCTTCTGCTGTTCCTTCTCTACTCTACTAACCTGCAGGAACCAGCATGTGCAGACAGAGCTGTCAATCACTCACTTTTTAAACATCAATTAAATAAATCAAACCAGTGACCTTCCCAGTGAAATAAATCAGCATTTGGCATTTGTATTTTAACTTTATAGTTCCATCCGTTTAAATGAAGGAGGTGGGGTTAATTATTAGTCAGTAGGGGGAGCTCTTCATCATTTTAGAGTCAGTAGCCATGTTTACATGTGCATAATATTTTGATTGGATTAAAAATTTGAGGTATCGGAAAATCTGAATCTACTGTGTATATGGGAGAAAGATCTAATAATTTGATTATGACGTGAGTATACATGCACCAAGTTTTATTCAGATGAGAAGCATTTGGACAGAGTTGTCCAATTTCGCTAAAACAACCGTAGAAGAAGAGTTGTATTTACGCCTGTGCTGTCAACAAACCAACAATTGAGATAGTGGCTCACTTCATCCAAATTCAGGATTTCCCCTCCTGTTAAATAATGTCACTAGACGGCGTCCTTGCGTACGCATTTTACTGTTCTGTCAATGGTTGCTCTGTGCGCGCAGTTGTGACATCATTGCGCTGTACTGTATGTACGCCTTGTTATGTCATGTTGTTATGCAGACACGGTACCTACAGTTGTGTTTCATGCCAGAGTGTTAATAATGAAACCTTCAGTACTGACCTCAATAAATAAGCCAAAGACTTGAGAGTTAAGACCGAGTCAGGTAAGAGAGTCGCGATCGGAATAAGTGTGTACATGGATGCGCTTCGGAATAACGATCAGCCCAAACCCCTCCACTCGATCGGAATACAATTTCTTTCTGATTGAGCCATATTGGATCAAAATCTTCCGATCAACATGTGTGTATGATGCATTTTTATTCCGATCAGGCCTTTATTCCGATTATTTGTGCCCATGTAAACGCAGCTAGTGATTACAGCATTGATTTTAATAAAAAGTCTCTAATTGAAAGAATAAGTTTGGTGGAGTTCAGTGCGAGGTTACACCATCTATGCAAGAATTTGAACATTGCCTAATATAAACCATAATTTAGGTTGATAACTTTCGTCATAATTTAGGAGTTGCACCAGCTGAGTAGGTGTAATATACTCTGGCTTGATGGTGCATTATTTTGAAAAACTGGATAACTCAAAGAATAACGATTAGCAGAAGGTTTTAACCTCCTGGATAGATTACCCTGAAGAGAAAGTATGATGACTTTGAACTTTAGCCCTGCTTTTGTTTTTCACAAGAGGAGATGATTTCATCTGCTTCATAACAAGAGTACGACTGTGTTTACTTGTGATGCTGTTGATTTTACAACCCACTCTGTTGCTACTAGTCCATTACAATCACTGAACAGAAGCAATTTTCTGCTGTGAGCCTGTTTACTGTCAACATAGCAGAAAAAGCTGCAGCGAATACCCAGATAAGGATAGCACTCTGCAGTGAAAACATCTCCTCTTCTGCAAAATTTTTGGTTACTTTGACTTCACACTCTACAAATAAAGGTGCAACTAGACAGTGACACAACTTAAATTACAAACTAACAAGTTTCAACATATAATTTTATGTTAACTTTGCAGCCTACATGGTGAAAAATTTCGCACAGAGAGACCACAGTGATCCAGTACTGATACTCGACCTTCAAAGTCCACACAGGCTTTTTAAAAGCCTCAGATGTTTTTATTCGGAGCTGTTATTCACTATTTTATCATTTTTCACAAGCTAACTTATTTGGATTTTCGAGAGAGGAACTAAATAAAACAAAATGAGCTCAGCGATTTGATTCAGCCCTCTTTTGTCCAGTTTGACTGCACTTGTATCACAAGTTTAAACAGGATGATATTGAAATGTAGTATTGCAGCGATATCACTGAGGTTTTTTTTTTTTTCATTTCTAGAGAGAAACAGAAGCAGCTGTTATCAGCTATGAAGGACTAACTATTTTGACAACAGCTGTGTGTTGTAACCTTGTTTTGCAGCCGTGTTGGGGACTCTCCAATCGTCGGGGCAGGGGCCTATGCGGACAGCTTAGCTGGCGGTGCTTCTGCTACTGGAGATGGAGACATCATGATGCGCTTTCTGCCAAGGTAACTGGCCCATTGTTTGTTCATAAAGGAAGATTTCAATTACAGTAAAGATAGCTCTCCTAAGCCGTTACCTTGAGTCGCTGCGCTGTTAGATGAAACGGGAACAATTTTAATAGTATCAAACAGGAATGTGAAAAATCCTCAGACTAGCATATGTTCAAATTTTTGAGTTGTCTCAGGGATAAAGGAATTGGTCAGCGTATGTGAGAGATGTGGAAAATGTTTTCTTCTTCTTCCTAAACAAATGTGATTTGCTTTCACTTGTGAGAAATACACAAAGTGTTAAAGTGCTGCACAAATAAGAATATTCTTCTTCTTCTGTTGAATAACCCCCCTGCTAGAGCTCAGACTGTGCAGCATTTAACAAAGATGTGTTGCATTAGCACTCCTTCATACACCCTACGACGGGATTATTCCTCAGACTTATTTCTCGACTAATACAACTTTCACAGCCTTTTCTTTGACAGGAAAAATCGGTTTCAGAGGAAATTGACATCTGTGGCACATGTAGTCTTTAAACAGACTTTTTTTTTTTTTGTGAACCTCTCGCTCGAAATGAAACCAAAGTATTGTAAGAGGTGGAAGCGTGACTGTGTTGCCCCAAAACTGTCATTTTTACATTCCACAGAAGAGGCGAGATTTCACTTTAGCTGCTGTTTGTTTCCAAGCTGAGAAAATGTGTCAGTCTCAGAAGGTACTTTTTTATATTTTTTAACCATGATAGTTTGAGTGAGGACACATGCTGTTTTTTTAAGCTGCACTAAGCTTTAAAGTCATAGTCACACACTTGCACACCTCAAGGCTGTCTATTTCAATCACACCTTTTCGAGTCACTTCCTGGAACTACTGGGGGTTGCAGTTTTCAAGAAGACCTTTCTACCACTGGACTGAGAGTGTTTGTAATTCATTCTTCATGCTCATGTTTTTCCTCGTAGTCAACAAATCCTCTTATGGACTTGGCTTTCAGAGTGTGGGAGTAACAATCATCATCAGCAGGATGTTCAGAGAACTACATCTGTCTTTATTGTTGGAATTTTCCTTTAATAAGCGGTTGCAAGATGCATCCAAATGTCAATAACACCCGAGAAAAAAGGGAAATTTTATCAGAGCAAGGTGACGCTTTTACTGTTGTGTATTACCTCTCAGAAATATCAAAAGTATATTTTTAAATAGTGCAAAGACAATATATATATATATATATATATATATATATATATATATATATATATATGTATATCATATGTATCTATTTTAAAATCATTTTAAATTTGATGCTAGTATCATATTTCAAGAACTTAAAGGTCAGGGCACTAAAACGAAAAAAAAACATCATTTAAGATCCAGCTTTTGAACATAAATGCACAAAATGAACTGGGTCAACAACCCGTAAAAGATGGATGTCATACTCCGATCAAGACTCTGTAGTGGAAATCACTGCATGGACTCAAAATCATTGCCAAGTACGTTGTCTGTGAACACAGTATGAACCGTGTAATTCCAGGAGGAACCACATATTGACATGATCTAGTCCTGATCTTGGGTATTTCCCCCGGTGGGACTAATGAAGGAACATCTTATCTTATCAACTCAAAGTTCAAAACTGTTCTGGGCTTTAAAACGAATTTTTGGAAAATTTCAGTGTACAGTTCAAATGCCATATATCCATGGTGTTATGGTGTTATGGGGATGTATGAGTGCCTGTCACAGGGGTGGTTTGCACATCTGGTAAGGCACCATTAATGCTGAACAAGACAGATTTTGGACCGACAGATGCTGCCAGCCAGACGACACCTTTATCAGTGAAGTCCTTGCGTATCAGCAGGACAAAGCCGAGCCACACTCTGCGGGTATTACGGCATCATGGCTCGAAAGTCTTAACTGGCCTGCCTGCTGTCTTGATTTGTCTCCTGTTGAAAGTGTTTGCCACATTATGTTGCAAAAATACGACAAAGGAGCAGCTGCAATCCTACATCAGGGACATGTTGTCTTTGCACTGTCTTCAGTTAAATATGAGGTTTAAATGCTCAGAAAACCACCCGAATCTATTTTACTCACAATTTACAAAGCGTCTCAACCTCTTTTGGGAGTTTTGGTTGTACGTTTCGACCCTGGACAGATGGGGTTGTTGGAATCCATTGTTTTTGTGTCGCAAAGAGCTTCTCAAGCAAGGGTACAATTACAGCTGATCACACTTGAGAGCTTTGCTAAAAATACTAGTTAAAAGCTCTCCAAATGGCCAGAGTCCTGTGCTGGATAGTGGGGCTGTAAACACAAGAAAACATGGAAACGTTTAACAGAGGAAATATTAGCCATAACTCGTATTTTCTGTCTTCTGCTTTTTATGTTTTCTGCAACATGGGAATGAATCCAAAAAGCCCCCCCTCCCAGTAAATTGGCACCAATAGATCTGACTGAATAAAAATGAAGTGAAAACATGGCCGTTATATCCAGGCTTCCATCCAACAGATAAAATGTATGCATGCAGAGTAAAAAAAAAAGCGTTGGTGCTTTACATAATATGATTTTTATTTGTTGCAGTGAGTTAAGTCTTTTGCTTTTCATGAAAATTCTCGTTTTGCACAGTAACTGAGTTATTATTCTACTATTAGAGGATGTTTATATCGCTTCATCGCAAAAATTAAGAAGTCTTTGTATACTGTATAAATATTGAAAGAAAAATTTGCACAAACTTTAGGGTGGATTAATTAAAACGGAGTATGAATGGACTCTAAATGGAGCTTAACTCTGTGGTGAAAACAGAATGAATGATATCTGAAATCGCTTTAATATTTCCAAATAACCTCACTGCTCTCCTCAAAGACAGGCTGATTTGGAAGTGCTACTTGAGTAAGGTAAATTTGATGAAGGAAAATGTGTTTTGGTCTGAAAAAGAGTTGTAGTGTAGAGCTGGTTATTCGCTGCAAGAACATCAGTGATTACTCTGTCACTCTGTAGCGCACACCTCTTTTATAGCAAAAGAGCCAAGCCGGGTAAGCTGCTATTTTTAATCCCTATTTAATCAGCATTCCTTGACATCAGATTTGTTTGCATCAGATTTATCCCACGCCATAACCATGAGCACATCCTCATCATCCTCCTGGTTGGTGGCCCTGACAGCCCTCGTTAGTTTGCCTCATGTGTGCCGCGTGTTATCCTGCCAACAGTTACTTGGCTGTGGAGCTGATGAGGGCCGGGGCAGATCCCTCGGCAGCCTGCAAGACGGCCATTTCCAGAATCAAGAGGCATTACTCAGAGTTCTTTGGAGCCATCATCTGTGCGAACACAACAGGCCATTATGGTGAGTGTGTGGGTTCACAATGACAGACTGTTTAGCTCCTGCCAAAGGTAATAGGACACACACCTGACACAAACATTTCTATTAAGATGCTGACAAACAGATGCATACTGGCTTTTACTTGTGTTTGCTTTCAGACTCCATAGATAGAACAACAAGTAGTCTGAAAATCTTGACGTTTTACAGAAAAACACCACAAAATATTCTACATTTTGAGAAATATTCCTGCTCAGGCCTTGCTATAGGAGAAATATCCAAAATTATAGCTATTAAAGGAGATTCTGATCTGTGTGTTAGTATGTCATATGATGCACAATGTCAGGTGCTCATCCTAAACCGTCGCAAAGTTTCAAAACATAAAACTGGGCTCGTTTTCTTGGTTCTCTAAACAGCTTATTTTAAAAACAAAGTCAATTTCCTCATTCCTCTTTTGGTGAAAAGTTCCCTAAAGAGTTTTTTTTTATTATTTTGAAGGAAAGTCACAGCTACTGTATCTTAAACTTTTTGTTATTAAGGCAAAGTTGTGTAAAAAGTAACACCCGTAGCTGTGTCCAGTTTTATCGAGCTGGAAAAGACAGTCTAAAAAGTGTTTCAGGCAGAGGCTCAGTAGTGCTAAAGTTAGGGTTTGTAGGGATGACAGTATGACGGAGTATTAGGGCCACATTAAGAAAAAAAAAAATTAAGACTTCAAGATAAATTTACTACAGTCATTACTAACGAGAATAAAGTCGTAATAAAGTAATTACTTACGAGAATAAAGTCGTAATAAAGTAATTACTTACGAGAATAAAGTCATACTAAAACCATTACTTACTTACGAAACCATTACTTACGAAAATAAAGTTGTTGTGAAATTATTACTAACGAGAATAAAGTCATAAAGTAATTACTTGCAAGAATAAAGTCATAATGAAATAATTATGATGCTTATGATAATGTGGTGCTGATGTGCCAAAAGATTAAGTATCTCCTTGCTTGAGAAATCTTTATTGAAGTATATTTTCACAAAATGCTCCATGGCTCTGATTTCAACAACTGTCTTCTTAAACAACAGGTTAGAATATAAGGACTTTATTCTGACTTTACTCTCATAAGTAATTACTTTATTACAACTTCATTCTTCTAAGTAATTATTTAATTACAACTTTATTCTTGTAACTAATGATTTTATTATGACTTTATTCTTGTTAGTAATTACTTTATTCTTCTTACTAATGATTTTATTACGTCTTGATTCTCGTAAGTAATTACTTTGCTATGACTTTATTCTCGTAAATTTATGGCTCTAATCTCGAAGTCTTCCTTCGGGGGCGTATGACAGTTTGTGAAAATTTAAGAATTTTGAAGCGCTCCTCTAGAGACATCCTAGACTGACATGATGAGTACACTGGGCAAAGAGCAATCTGAGGACAAAGACTTTTTTGTTTCACGTATATAAGAGGTCTGTTTATTCAGAGCATTAGAGAATATGTGAAGTTTTGAAAGAGTCCAAAATGACAAAATCAGAGATACTTGGTTATTAAGGGTAGAGTTGTCAACTTTTGTTCAGCTTCACCAAAACACTTAAGTTCCAAGTTTCCTCGGAGTTTCTTTAAACTGTCTTCTGATCTGAAGTTTGACATCCTGTCGGCAGAGGAACTGTAGCACAATCTGTTCCACCCAGTGCGCGCTTTGTTCTCATGACAACAGCTACAAAAGTTTAAAATAAGTGTGGCAGAAAAAGTGGCGTGTCATTTCCTCTACTTCCTTCACAAAACTCCTGAAAAGTGCCCTGTGGAGCTTTTCTTGTGAACAAAGGAAAAAATATGTTTACATTCACCTGACTCAAAATGCAACATGCAGCATGTGCATTCTTGAGGTCTGAGGAAATGCACCTCCTAAAGAAAACCCCTTTCAAAGCTGATATTACAATGGCACGACGCCATCGCTAAGAAGGTCTGGGAACAAAAAGGACAAACGCTTTCGAGAGCTACGACAGGTCAGAACGTTGAGATGACACCATCCTCCTATAGTATAAAAAAAGGTGTCAGGGTTTTACATGTTATTACCCTTCAAAAAGTGATTGTGGTCAATTTGTCACAGACTTCTTGCTTTACATGCTGTGCAAGAAAGATGAGCAGATAGTACATATAAACTTCCTGCCTTCATTTTGAATACAGTACATGATGTAAAGCCAAAGGTCTGCCTCCTTAAGCGCTGATTTATTGTCTTGGTCGAGCATGCACAGATTCACCGATAAAGGTCAATGACTCTTGAGTTTGTGTCGGTTTTGTTTTCTCACTATGCTCCTTCTCTACTCTGTCAGTCTGGTATGAAGCGTTTCAAAAGCTGCATTTCTCTGCAGATCTGTCAATTAAGAAATTTCTTTTAAAATGTACTTACAAGAAAAATGAACACTTGAAATAAATCAGCGTGAAAATGAATATAACTGAGAGCAGAGAGGTTTAATTTCGTAGTTTGACTCGTGCTCCCTTCCGTTAACATGAAGGAGGTCGAGTTTGACCTATACTGCAGCCAGCCAGTAGGGGGAGCTCTAATTCATTTGTCTTTTTAGTCAGTGAACACTACAACAGGAGTGGCAGAGGTGATATGTAAACAGTAACCCGTGTTTTCATCCTAGTTTTAAATGAAGCTTTGAGGCAAAAGGAGAAAAAACACACATTTGGTTTTATTTATAATCTGCATTTCTTTGATCTTTTCAGGCGCGGCTTGTAACAAAGTCGATGGCTTCTCTCAGTTTCACTTCATGGTGTCAAACTCCGAGTCTGACACACCGCTGCTTAAATCTGTGGACTGCTTTTAAGGAAATGTGATTGTTTGCCTCTCATCGATATACTGAATGAATCAACTGTGTCCAATGTGTTTTTATGGTTGATATTCTGTTCTAAATTAAAATATAAAGTGTAATTAAAGTAATTTTGCTAAAAAGTTTTCATTACTGCTGTTTGAAATCTTTATTTCATTCTTAAAAACACTTAAAAGATGAACAGGACACACACACACAGACACCACATGCAAATAAACATCTGATCAGGGCTGAGACACTCTCCTTTAGATCTCTGCTGTTTGCTGTTGTGTCCTTTGGTTTGTAAATTCACCAATCTGAGCACACAGGCTTCATCTGGGAGCGATGCATTGCTGGAACACATTAACAACCAGGGAGGATGGCGATCCCCGGTCCGTTCTCTGCCCACTGGAAAAACTCGCACTGTTTACCCTTTTGAAAGCTGCAGGTGTAGAAATTCCGACCGTTGTTGGGTCCTAGTTTCAGAACGGTCCTCATTAAACAGCGTTTCCCATGGTGACAAAAGGGAAAGTGCAAGTCAGCCCACTGCAAACGAGAAAATACTTTCTTTAAGTCAGTTGCCAGCTCTCTCTTTCAAGCAGTGAAACTTGTGGCTGAAAGTTTGCGGACACTCAAAAACTCAGCTCTGAGAAATAATTAACTTCTGTAATTTTCAGGTGACACAAAGCCACAGAGATAACTTATTTTCCATTTTCACCTCAAAGAAGTCACACTTGGTCTCTCTGGGGAGCGAGCAGGAGTAGAACTGTCGTCCTTTGTTGTCGCCGTCCTTCTGAACTGTCCTGAGGACGGTCGGGCGGCGGTGGGATACACAACACGGCGTGCTGGGACCAGAAGAAATGGTGGGGCTGCGGCTTGTCACTTGTGTTTTGCTTGTACTGACAGAACTGAAGAAACAGTCTTATTAGAAATAAATTGAAGGTAAAAACACGAGCACGCCTGTCACATCAACTCTTGTTAGGGCGAAAACAACCTCCTTTCAGCAATTTGTGATGACATTTTAGAAACAATTGTACTCACATGGTATCCTGCTATGGCTATTCATCAGTTGTGTATTAAAAATTCCACAGCTACATGCTTTTTTATCCCACTTATCTCCCTGAAGTTGCAAAAACTTCTCTTATTATAAACTTTATTCATGAAGACTAGAGCGAGATTCACTCACCGTGAGTTGGGGGTTCCATTTTGAGCATTGTTACTGGGAAAGGGGCTGTGATCAATTCTCATTTTCTTGGATGGCTGACTGTAGGAGGCCAGCGATTCCCTATTGGTGCGCTCGGCACTTTGCTTCTGCCAGCCACCAGAGGCATAATTGGGGCTTGTTGTCCCTTGGCAGAAGTTGTATTTATATAAACCTCGCTCTGTCGCCAAGGAATTCAAATGACTGCCTGCTGGGGACAGAGGGGAGTTTACAGGCTTTGGCTTCTTGCTCATGTCAGAGAAAACAAGGGTGGTAGTCCCCAGCGCAGACCTCACGTTGACTTTGAGCTCCTCTTGTGGCTTCGTGAAGGCGATGCAGGGATACTTAATCAGATCAGGAATGGAGGGTGATGCTTCAGCGCTAATGTCGTCTTTGCAGGCTGTGGAGATGGAGCCAGAGTGAGAAACTGATTTCATGTTCAGCAGCTGCAGCTTGTTGTCATGAAGAGGCTGCTCTTATAAAATGCAGCTTGTTGTTAGCTCTAAGTGGTTAGCTTGCCATAAAATTTTACCAGTAAGCAGCAGACTGCTGCGCTGTGTACTCCAGATAAAATGTCACAATCTGCTGCGCTGAAACTTCCTTATGCAAAATTCAAAGAGCTCAGCCCCCACAGGATGAGACTTCAAAGATAAGTCAACATTTACAGTGACGGTAACTAAGAGGAAACTTTGGTTTACTCATTACACTTACAGCCTCTCAAAATGCTCATTTATGTCCCTGTGTGTGAGGGAATTAACCCGCAGCTGCTCAGTGGTTAATATTAAATGAAGTGAATAACAGATATGTCCATTTTACTTTCACAAATTATAATTTTTAAAGGTCTAGTTTGTGTTAAAATGCAACCACCGAGCAACAGAAAGTGTTTTCATTTAGGCAAACCTATTCCTGTGTAGTTAAAGATGACATCTTCACACCTGGGTTCCTACGAAAGTATGGAAATACATTTGATCAATTTCCAGGTCTTAAGACGTATGGAAAATGAAAAATAAAGTATGGAAAAATATTTCTGTTTCTAGACTATTACCACAGTTCTAAAATACTGTTTTCTAAAATAGAAAAGCAGGTATTTCCAAAAATAATTCTAAAAAGTAGGGTATGGAAATTCAAACTGTGTAGGAACCCTGCATGATGATGAATGAATAAAGGTTTTGCTGTTTTGTTCATACGGCAATGAATGATTTTTAAAGGATAAGTGTGTTAGGGAGTGTTTCCTTACCACTGTAACTCGCTAAATACTACAAGTGCTTCATTCATGTTGATTTGAGATTGGGTCTTTTGGGTTAGGTCTAAACTGGCTTTTTTGGAAAGTGTCTTGTGATTTGGCGCTTTATAAATAAATGATTGCAAATCAGGACAACTGAAAAGCAGAAATAAAAAACTATTCTGGAAAATTTGCTTCATCTGGGGAAAAGATTGTTGTTTTGGTACGCAGACAAAAATGAAAAAAAATGAAAATTTCCCTTTAAAAAAAATGAGGCAAACTGAAGTGATGGTGTAAAAATGAGGGTGTTTTATTTTTACACTGTCACTCCAGTGGGCCTTGGACTGTTCTCTTTTTTTGACGGAAAGCTGCTTATTTCATTTTTTCACTTCCATCTTTTACCAATCTCTTCCCCCAGGAGAAACAAATGTTTCAGGCCTGAAGCATCCAAAGAACACCTGTAAGCGACAGATTTAAAGACCTTCTCCGGTTTTATCTTCCCTGTTGTGGAGACTGTTTGAATAAAGGACGAATCACCTTAAAAAATAAGCAAATGTGTTTTTGTTTGCCTGAAAAGCAGAGCCTACATTGGTATCTGCAGAGTGCACAGGGCTGTTTTCACTCGTCTTGTCTGAACACATCAAAGACTGGCTTATGAGTGAACCTTTCTTCTTTTTGTGAACATCGAGTGTTCTCCTGCACACACAGCCTGAATGCTGCTAAATCCAACTGGGATTTAGTGTCACTGTTACACATGCTTTCAAATGTCACACTCAGTTAATCAGAAAAGCTCCACTAAACAGAGTGTTGCTGTTGTCACTCTCGAGCAAGGACCAGGACATTATTTGGCGTAACCTGCACAGACCAAAACGAAGAGATACCTGTAGTGCACCAGCTTAATAATACGCCGTCTTAACAATGAGACATAGGCTTGACTATGGCAGAGGGATCACACATGATTGAACTGGGAGCATTTCAAAGTGACCAGCCAGTTATTCAAGACAGCAGATCACCCTTATGAAAAATCTGCTAAAGGGTCGAACACCTCAAACATAAAGTGGGGTCATCACCCTGTCCTATACGCCTAAATACATGATTCATGAGTGATATTTCAAGTTAAGTTAAATAAGGTTAAATAAATGCAACACAGTAGCGAAGCACCATGAAGTCTACGGAAGAGGAAATAGTCCTCTCGAGGGCTTTGGTCAGTGATTTTTAATGTTGCTGCCTCCTGTCTTTGTGGGGTACACATTGTATGTTAAATTATTAGATGTAAAAAAAATGAAATAACAGCAAGAATTTTAACACTACGCTCACTACAACATGAGATAAATTTGTGATTTAAATGTATGAATTAGAAATACGGTTGTGAATCCAGTGTTTCCCCTACATAGACTTTACTTGGGCCGCCCGCACCCAAGAAGATGAAAATAGAATTTAAAAAATAAAAAATACACGGTCATACAGACACACAGACAGCAGGATTTCCTCCAGACAAACGTGGCGGAGCGCGGAACACGCTGGTAAATATACTGAAGCACACCCAAACTGTTGCGCTCCAGCTACACTAACTTACTATTGATTTAATACTGTTTTCTTCCTCATACAGTTTCTGTTATTGTACCTCTGGTTTTGTCTCAGAGACTGACTGTGACTTTTTCTTCTTAAAGCTTTTTTTTCCTTTGGGTTGTTTGTTAACAAAGCAACAGTCTGCAGCAGTCTAAAGTTGTAAACAAAGGTGCGGAAAAAAAACTCTCATTGGTCAGTGTGATGATAGTGCACTGTCTACCTTATGTTTTATGTTTGTTTTGCATCTTTAAAAGTTTACAATGAAATGTGACACTGAATTTAAAACAGCACATTGTCATTTCTGCATTTATTATCTATTTATTGGTGATACAGTGAAAATGAGAGGAAATGTGAATTATTTGCCTTGCAAGTCAAGCTACAGCGTGCACCCTTAAATTTTCTGCTTACGCTCCTAAAATTTTTACTGAGGGGTTACTGTGTTCTCAGCAAAAGAAGTTAGTCTGGAGTATGTGCAATAAATAAGGCATAGTTCATAAACTTATGTTTGACTAGATTATTTTGAATGCACTTATCAAACACCACAGCGCCACCCTGCCCACCACCACAAGTAAATTCTCAACCTAAGGGAAACACTGGAATCCAAATATGAAATCATGATTATTACTCAGACTGTGAACATTACTTCAAAATCTGATTGTTGCATTCATAAATTTACCACTTTCCCTTTGGTAGGAGAGTGAAAAACCTCTACAAAGAATCTGAAGTTTATTTAAAATAAAGAAAATATGAAAAACCCTGAAATGAAGCCTCATACTTGAACTTGCAGTTTCCCGTTTTGACCAAAGAGTGTTTGTTGAAAGCACTAGAAATCTGCAGCAATTTTATGAGAGTGATGTATGACAGGCAGCGGCTCGCTGATGCTGGAGTATTTTGCTTTGAAAAGTAACCATGAAAATGTACCATGGACACACTGTCGTCACCCATGGGAAGCTTTTCAACCAGTCGCCAAAAACAAAAACAAACAAACATTTATTTTAAAATTTTAAAGCAAAAAATAAACTTTACAGCACAACATCAATAAAAATGTTCAGCTATGGATGTTGTGTGCAAAAGAGAGATAGCAAGGACATTTCTTTCAAACTCTCCCCCACAGCTGTCGTTCTGTGTCTCAAAATTGTCAAAGAAAAACTCACAGACTCGCTCATTACACAGACAAACGCACCAACATTTCACACAAACACTCAAAACCACTGAGCCTGTATGCTCGATGGCTTTGTCTTTGGTGCCTTGCTCAGAAGTACTCACAAATGGACTGCGAACAGAACATGGGATCATTCAGCCAAACTACAGCTGCTTTTATTTCATCTCTTGCTAACAAGGATGGTCTGACGCCCCATTACATGCAGTGACTGTGAAAATAAAAAAATATATAAAAACACTCACTCACCCTCAGGTCTGGGAGTGAGGCAGGCTTCACAGGCTTTAGCTGCCGGCTGGTTGATGAGCGTGCAGAGCTGACAGGCCCAGTCCTCTTCCTCCTTCTTAGCTACGCTGTCATTGGTTCTGTCACCGTAGGCCCAGCCAATCAGACTGTTCCTGACGGGAAGCTTACTAGATGAAGGGCATACAAGAGTGACAACAGTCATCCTAATGAACGTGTGAGATGAATGAATAAAACATGCTCTAAGAAGTGGGAATAATATAATATAATATAATATAAGCACAGAGCTCAGGTAATCAGTGTTTGGATGAAACTGGCATTAAAAGGTATTTAGCACATATTAAATAAAGCTTGACACATATATTAACCCAGTACCTTAAGGATAAACATTTTTTGATTTTATAATGCACTTTCTAATCCTCTACCATCAGGGATGCTGGCTTTTGTACGGGTCCATTTGCTGTTCTAATTGGAGGATGTGGGATTCATGGTTTCCAAAGAGTATATCAAATTTAAAAAATTTTCTACTTCTCCTCAGTCCATCTTAGACGGGCTTAAACTCAGATAAAAGTCTCTAGCTTTTCTCAAGATTACTCAATATCTTGATGAGCAAAAGCACAATTTCCAAAGTTTTGACAAAACCGAGTTTAACATAACATGTTTATTTACCATCAGATAAAAATAAGGGTGATATGGTAACTAAAATGTAGCTTTGCTCCCAGAACTTTGATCGGGGTGTACTCATTTTTGCATCTTTAATTTTAAATTAAAGTGTGACTGTGTGAGCGAATGAATGATGTATCCAATGTAAAGCGCTTTGAGGGTCTCTGATAAAACGCTATATGAAATCTGATGCATTATTATTATTATTATAAATTGGAAAAAAAAAAAAAAAAAACTTCTTAGTTTCCAACTTAAAAATCTTGTTAGCAATCGATGGCAAAAATGAAAATGTTGATTTTAAAAGGAAACTAAAGGTTTTCTGACAACTCTGAAGGGGTGTTCTCATTTATGCTGAGAACTGTATATACCAGTACCTCTCTGAATGGTACAGTTTTGACTCACATTTGTGGATGCATTAACAAACTGTACTCTGAATATTTTTGGTGATGTGGGGCTCATGCAGTAATTTCCACTTCAGTCATATCTGTTTTCAATCCAAAACTACCTGAAGGCCTGAAGTTCACAGCCATCCATTAATAAATATTCTTCTTCCTCTTTTTGAAAGGAGAATTTTCCAGATGTCATGTACTTAATTGACAAAATCCTCAAATTCTTTCCAATTTTACTCTTAGGAACACTTTTTTTTTAGGGAATTGCTGAACTTTTTCCTCGTCTGATCTCACACAGAGTAGTGATCACATTTCCATCTTTACTTAAGAGGAAATCACCCTCTCCAGAATTCCCTTTTTATACCCATTCATAAAACTAACCTGTTCAGTATTGATGTAATGAGTTGGGAGATGTTTCTCCAGGTGTCTTTTGACATTACACTTCTTTTTAAGTGAGCATTTGTTCTTTTCCACACTTTTTTTATATGTTGCTGGCATCAAATTTAAAACTACCTTTAATCTCTGATTTGCAAACCGTCAAACTCTGTTTTTGTCAACATTTCACCCTGTGTCCTACCTCTTTAGGATTAGGGGTTGCATTCTTCCCCACCTAATTCATATTAAAAAGTGGTAGACTACATATTAGAGTCAGTTCCAGCAGCTGAAATGAGCCAGGTACAGCTTTTTGTTACACCGCACTTTTGACTGAGTAACTGAGTGTTAATTTGCTTTGGCTCATAACTCCGTCAAGTCTGGGCATATAAAAATGAACTTTTTATTTTCATTATTTTACAGCTTGTAGTTCGGCTGAGGTTTACTTCTAAAATTATTGGCAATGTGTGCATAACATAAGTTTCCTTGATTACTTATATAACAAGCAATTAGTGCTTGGAACTGCATATGCAAAAATGAGATATAAACATAAATAATTCAAAAGCTATTATTGTAAACGGATTATGAAAAACACTGGCAAAGAGGAAACGTGAATCACACAAACATTTGCAGTTCAAGCAGAGGATGAGGGGTGTGTTTCCTATAATTGCTCCGAGCATACATGTTAGTGCTCTGACATGAAGCCTGACTATGTTTGACAAGAGCGCAAATCTGCAACGCCAACAGTCACACAGGAGGAGAGTAGCAGCAGCTTTCGGGAAACTTTCCTCGCAGATTGCTTTATCAGCTGTGTAATGCGTTGTAAGGGCTTTAGGCTCTAACCCCTCGCAAAGCTCTGCTCAAACACAACCCAGGAGGTGTTGAGCCTGTGCCCTGGCTGGCAAACACAGCCCTATATGCGCATTAATTTCCCCCCCTCATAACACTTCCCACTCCCTGCCAAGCCCATCTGCCTGCAAAGATGGCCTCTCCAAATATGACCGTATTATCTGAAAAGGATTTACAACTTTCAGCAAAGACGAGGTGTTGGGAAGTCACATCCAGCTCTACTTTGCCGCATTTTGGTATTAGATTAGCAAACAAATTAGGGAGAGTCCAGAGGCCTGTTAAAGAGGGACATTTTCTCAGAAAAATAAGAATCGTCATTAAGTCGAAATGAAATGTGCACCGTGCAATGTTTTTGTTTCCAGAAATATGATAAAAAATGATGTATTCCTTTTTTCTTCACTGAAAAAGAGCACAGTAAAAAGGTGCCTTTTTTATCTTACTCCTGTTTCATATTGCGCATCAGCACCCAGGCTGAACCTGAATGCAACACAACAGCTTTTCAGTCAAAGTGCCAAAACCCTGTGAGGATGTCTACCTGATGTCAACCCCGCTGGGATCTGCTCTCTGACAGCGCCCACAGAAGTAAGTCATCCTCCCGTTGTCTCCAAGACGACAGACTGTGATGACATCAGAGCACTGGCCGCACTGGGGACGCTTGTAGACTTTGTAATGTTTGTAGAGAGGGGAGCCAGATTTGCGACACTGATAGAGGGGAGAGTGAATGAAGAGACGAGGATAAAGAGAGGCAGAGAAAACATTCGCCTCCTCTTTACTTTTCAATTATGCATGGACAGGAATGTTTGTTTTGTCTTTCCTCCGGGCAGAGCTGCTTTGGCTTTTACCTCTCCTCCCTCAGCAGAGCGAGATTTTAAATTAATCCATACTAAAATGCAGCCTAAATGAGGTGTTGGCTAAAAACCTCAAAGTATATGTACAAATGCATTAGTGGCATTTTTCTAAATATGCAAACACAGACCAAAAACAATGCAGTTTCTTTTTTTTGCACTTGATATACAAACCTTGTAAAACAGAAGAGTAAAATCACGTGTCATCTTCACCAAGTGATGGATCTGCTCGTCTCTCAGCTGGTGGACCTAAGAGTAAAGCAGCACAGTTACTTACAGAGCACAGCCACAGAGTAAATAAACCTTATTTGTGTAGCTTCTCGTTTTAAGACAGAGATGAAGGGAGCTTCACAGCAAGCAAATCAATAATACAAGCATATCAACAAGCAGAAAAAAAAAGACCAGACATGAATGAAAGACTGGATTTAAAATGAGAGAAAAAAAAAAAAAAAAAACTCACAATGAATTCAAAAGACCTGCAGTCTGGGAAGCAAGGACCTGACTCCGGCTGAGTGAGAGTTAAAAGGATCAAAAGCACACCAACACCTGTCGCTCTTTCAGTGCAGCTCGGAGCTCAATAATAGAGGAGAGGCTTGGAAAGATTCAGTGGTCCCAAAAGAGGAAGGGGCCAAAAGTCCTAGATTAATGTTTTGGTCGGGGGTGCTATATTCTTGGACCCCATCTAGTACTCTCTAAGAGCCCTGGTTATATTTGAGAAATAGAAGTATTCACGCCTCAAAGCATGTCTTGTTGGCAGTAGATAGATCACTCCAAAATCGCACTTTTCCATGATGGTTTGTTTAACGAAAAATACTCTCTGAGAGTGATGGGGCCTTGGATTTTTCACATTTCCCCTGATGCGATTTCTAGATTAGGAGCACAACCTATTTGTGAGTTGCTTTTTATAAATATAAATGAGTGGGAAAAATCCTATTCCAGAGCAAAAAAAACTCATAAAAATGAATGAAAAACATTTCCCAACTGCACAGGGAAGAAGAAAAACCTGTGCCGCAATGCGCTTGTTTGTCTTCTCTGCTGTTTCACCCTCCTCATTGCAATGCATCTCTCAATAATACAAAGGGCTTAAACTTTTTTTCAGCAAGAGTTGTCTTGCATTTTTTACCCACTTTTTCCTTTGTTCCTCTGCTGAACACAATCCATCATCTTTTCCATACCTTCACGGCTGGGTGGAGGCCCGAGTCAAACAGGGCTTCGTTTTTAATGATGTTGCCGACTCCCGGCATGACGGCCTGATCTAGGAGCACGTCACAGAGCATCCTGCCTCTCTGGCTCCGCACAGCCTCCTCCGAGCGAGGGAAGCTGAATTTGGGAGAGCAAACATCCAGGCACTCCATGGCCTTTACCCTTTGCTCGCAGTCCTCTGTTAACCTGCAAGAAACACAGTTTTACTCTCCCAGAGGTGTTAAGAAAATATATGACTGCTGTTGCTGTGAGCCACAAGGTCAACTGGTGCATTCAAAATTGTTTCTTTCATTTATTCCCATCCAGTTTGTTTGTTATGGGGTAGGGCAGCACAGGTGAATATTTCAGACAGTCAAATAAATGTCTGTCTGGCTACTGAACAGCACACCAGGACCCTGCAGTCAATGATCAGAACAAATGTCGAGGCGAGATGACTGTGTTTTTCATGCAACAATAGCCGCTGTGCTCAGACACCGCCAAATGTAGGACACTCTCGCTGAATGAAGCTCAAAGCCCAAGGTGAACCTCTGTCACCTCAATCTATCTAGGCTACACCGGTGTCCCCGTTACCTTATTTCCACAGTGCTGTCATAGAAGCACACAATGTCGTTAGTCAGGTGGAGTTCCAGCACCGGTAAGGAGCCAGTCCTCTCTTTCCTCACAACAGGGTTTATACGCATCGATCCGTTCATACCAAAGTGGACCCTGAGAAAAGATGTGCGCATGAAAGACAGAAGGAGAGAGAAAAGACGAATTCCAATTAAAGATAGCATGTCGCAGTGTGTGAATGAGGACTGACAACAAAAGGACAGAAAGGTGGCCTTGGAGTTGGAGGCTCCATTAGAGTTGTCACAGGCTTCAATAGAAATCTCCTAGGCTCCTTTCTAACAATAGCTGGCACGGTTAAGTCCAAGAAGAGCCACACATAAAGCTTTAGAGTGCTAAAATATGTTTTGTAAGCATTCAATATACAGTACAAGCCAAAACACGCAATCATGGCTGGTCATTTTGGGCATAAGTACTCTTTCTATTGACTTTCCCTCTATACTGCTACACATGAAGAGACCTACTGATAGATGCAGGTACTTTGCATTTATATAAACCTTAAAATGTTCTTTTATTTTGTCAGTTTATGAGAATTTCATACTTATGGCAGCCCCCTTTCCATTCAAGCTGCTAGCTTGCACTGTCATGTTTCTATGGTGGCAATAATGGACGAATATACAGACAAAGACAGGAGTGGAAATTGCTGTGTGCAAAAGAGCGTTTAAATCTAGTCGGACTGTTTGGGATCACCAATTCCATTTCTATGCACTGTGCCCTCGAAAGGTTTGCAAAACCATCAAAATCTGGACGAGAATAAATTGTGATTCTTAAACTATTATAAGGTAAAGGCAGCAGATTTGTCAGCATTGTTGATTAAATACTTTGCAGCACCTAAAACCTCCAGTTTTCCTGTAGATCACTGAGTCAGCTGGAGGAGAAGAGAAGCCTGTACCGACACGCTGATATTGTGAACATTTCTAAAACGATCAATCAACTTCTATCTTTTTGTTTAGACATCTATTTCTTTCTGTTAGTTTCCTCCTAAAATATCTTTTATTAAGTGATGGCTTGCTAGTGATTCAGAAATTCATGTTTTTTTAAACTCCCTCTAAACCTTATTCTCACCAAGAGACTGTTGAGTAAAAATAAGATAATTATTTATTGATCTCAAGAGAGAAATTCAGTTGTTGAAGCTACACAGACACAGCAAATACTGCAAATAAAGAAAAACTAAATAAGATACATAACATAAGTGGTGATACGACTGTTAGACAAAGGAATAAGAGAGAGGGAGAGTGGGGGAAGTTGAGCCACCCCCTGTTTCTTAGAAATGGTAAAAGAAATTGATCATGTGACCAAATATTTAACAGATGGGCATCAATTCATGGAGTCTGTGAAGGTTAGAAGCACATGGGTGAAGAGGTTAGACATTTATTTCCAAAAACAAAAAACATTTTTCACTCTTGAAAGTGAATTCAGTCTGTCATAAGTTTTATCAGAATTGTGTTCAGACCAAAAAAGATCATTTTTAATTTGTTTTATACGTCAATTGTGGTATCTATGAGCTACAACATGAGGTCAAAAACCCAGCGTAAGAGTCCACCATTTTAGCTTAGAGGACTAATAAAGTCATAATAGTAGAGGATGAGAGGATCAGAGTTTCAGTTCAGATTCAGATTCAAAAATACAGCTGTGAATGATTTGAATCTTCCGAAGCGCACGTAAAGGCATTCTCCTGTTAAAATGGCTTTTTACAAAACAGCATCTGGTTAGGAAGCCTTCTGGACGCCTCCCGTTAGAGGTGTTCCAGACATGTCCCACCGGGAGGAGACCTGGTGGCCGGCCCAGGACCAGGTGGAGGGATTATATCTCTCGCCTGGCCTGGGAGCGCCTGGGAATCCCCCCGGAGACTGGTGGAAGTGGCTGGGGTGAGGGCCGTCTGGGCTTCCCTCCTAAAGCTGCTGCCCCTGCAACCCGGACCCGGATGAAGCGGAAGAAAACGACAACGACGACAAAACAGCTTTTAAAAGAATAAAAAGAATTATTGTACCAGTTAAATAGCGTATAATAGATAAAAATACACATGAATGTGTAGAAGTGACTGTTATTTAGGGAGAGAGAAGGTGAGGGAGGGCTGGGGTGGAGAGTGGAGGGGTAGTAGAGAGACAGTTCTGTTTACACTCCTTCTGTTGGTTTGCAGGGATGAACAACACCTTGGAATATATACAGATCCACTAGTTAGAGACAAAACTATGATTGCCATAAATGGCTCATCTTACCCCACTCTCCCCTGTGCGGGACATGCTTTGAAGTAAAATTGATATACAGGTAAGTCTGATGTGTGTTGTGAGCCAAGGAGACTTAAACTGTGCTCAGGACCCCACTAGAGCCAGCGGTAGCCCACATTATATAACATTTCACTCAATATAAAGGTGAGATCTGAAACCAGGTTATATAATCCGACAGCAGGCAGGATTCAACCTGATTTTCACCTCTGCTATGACTGAACACACAAGAGGATCCTCCTCTGAAAGACCACATTTACTGAGAGTGTATGGATGTGTGTACTTAGAGGTACATTTGGCCTTACCTTAATGCTTTTGAACCAAAGTACATGAAAAACTCTTTGCCCAGAGTTTCAACCCCGGTGTACTGACAACCACTGAAACGCTGGAGGGCATCTCCCTGTTGGCTGTTTTTCTAAAAGTGAGACACAAACAGACTCATTTAACTGCAGAGGTAAACACAGGTGTGAGGCCAGATGAAAGTCTCACTCAGTGAAACTACAGCAGTTTTTTTTCTTACATTAGACAGTGATAGTTTTCTAACGTTGGCCGGTTATAACACGATTTAACGCGACTCACCGTGGACGTTATCAAACTGCCTCTCATTTCCTTCAGCTTCTGTCCTTTCTGGACTTTGGCTCGGACTTTCTCTCCGTTTAACGTGCACCCTGGACCTTCAACCATCTTGAGGTTAAGAGTTTAGGAGCTCTTCTTCAGTTTGCAGCAGACAAGAGGCGGAAAAGTTTGTTGTCGTCCTGATTCCCCGCCATAAGATTTAATTTTGCGCATGCGTGGGAGGCTTTGTATCCGGAAGTGGGAACTGCACTAGCGCAATAAAACACAAAACGCAAAATGGAGTTTATCCTTTTCACTGTTATTTAATGAGTTTAATTCATCATTAAGCAGTTTATATTAAATTCATACTCAATTTTATTCATACACTCACCTACATATTCAGGCAGTCTGTAGATTTGTCATATTTTATTAATTTCATTGATTGTCTGCTTACATATTTAAGGAAAAATCTAAAGGTGCTGTCAAAATTTAGGATTAAAAGATAGTAATATGAAATAGTTTTAACATATTTTATCAAGTTCTCTTTGACTAGACCAACTATCGTTCTATTCATTATGAAGTTAACCCTGATACAAGCAAATCAATCTTTATTATTTTCACAGAACTTTTATTTTTACATCAGTTTTATAACTAAGAAATATACCTAATTCTGTTCAAGTTAATTTGATTTCTTTCATGTGTTGAAAGTAATTTTTTAAGTCATGTCTCATCTCCCCAACAAATTATAAATGTGGGGAGACTGGCCCATCTAATTTTATTCATTTACTTATTTACTTCGTTTTTGCATTGTGATAAAAAATGATACCAACAAATAAATAGTTTTAAATAAATAAAACTACTAATCATCAAACGCTCCATTCCCTTTTCAATTTTAATGAGAGAGTTGTTTTTTGTTTTATCCACTAGAGGGCGCTAGAGTACCATTCATGAATTTGCAGCCAGCACTAAGCAGTTAAGATGATGTGATCCATAAAACAGCTTTTCCATGAACTTTGGCTCAATTCAGAAGAAAGAAAGGCATTTTTTTTCTATAACATTGAGTATAATATACCTTCTCTAAAGAGGTTTTTATGATCCTGACTTATCTGCTACAGTTTTTATGGGATTTTTGTGTTTTGTTTTGTTTTTTATCGCCCTTTCACTCAAGGAATTTTGTGGCAATCGATAGCAAAATGTAATTTGTGACTATGACAGTGCCAAAGAAGAGGAACAGAACAAAGCAAAGCAACAAAATTACAAAAGTACAAAATTTCACACATTTTGAGGAGGAAAAGTGTACAAAGGGCTTCACAGAAAAGCATCATTTTCACAGTCACCCTAACTTTAAATGTAAATTACAGGTAAACTGTAACTTTTGTCTTGAATATATATCCACTATATAACACTTAACCTAAGGTTAAACAGAAAATTTAGGTAAATACATTTCTTTTTTTGATTGAAGTTTATTTGAACATATTAAAAAATAACAATAAAAAAGTAAAGAATACAACAACAAATGACAAAAAGTTATTCAAGCTCAAAAAGGAGTGGGAAGAAGTCGAGACTTAGCTAGTCCCACCCCTTCTCCTACACTAATGGTTTAAATATATATCATAATATTATATAATAATATTCATCATCACAATAATAATAGCAATAAAAATAATCATCACAGTGAAAATAACAAAACAACAACAACAAAAACAACAACAACAAAAGTCAATATAAAATAACTTTAAGTTATTTAAGTTATTAACTTTTTTCTGTTAAGAAAATTGTCTTAAAACAGTCCAGATTGTGTTTTAAGACTTCCATGAGGTGAAATTGTACAAACATGCCTCAACTTTAGCAACACTTTCCTTATTTTTCTCTTACCTTGGAATTTGTCAGTGCCTTTATATTGTTTAAACTCATTGGTGTGAAGCTAGTATACTTTGTTTATTGTAGAAATGCAAACCCCTATAACTTTTGTAGCATGTCAAAAAAAGAAGTAATGCATCTATTCTGTATTTAACATCAGACTGTGAGTTCAAGCTCCTTAAACTGCCTTTCATATGCCTTCCTAACTTGATTCATTGAACCATCATCCTAGGTTGAATACAAGTGCCAGATGTAACCTCATGGCCAAGTCTACCTGACTGCTTTCCATATCTCTAAAATGTTCATTTATGTGCTCAATCAGGAGAGAAAAAAATTCAAAGGAGGAATCATTTGCATTATTGTCAAAAGATTTTCTGCATGGCTAGTTTGCGTAATTGCGGCAACTTGTTTGCTCTGCAGTTTTACCACCCAGAAACCCTTCTGTCGGCCAAGATAAAAATAGATAGACTCCATGTTCTCCGGCCAAGTGTACAGACCTGCCCTCCTTCAAAAAAGCAACACTCAGCAATAACCTGCATTAAAATCTGAAGCTGCTCTCTCTTTCTGACTGGCTCCAAGGGAAGTGGAGCACTTGAAGCTGGATGTCATCCAACAAATTATAAAGTAATTCACTCCAGGTTGTTGAAAACTGGATTGTGCTCTCTTACATTCCTTCCCTCCTGCCTCAGGATCTACAGTATCCTGGGACAAAGGCAAAACTTGGCCTTGACGTGTCTGCAGATATTAAAGATGAGAGCGCAGGCAGCATGCCATGTTGTCTGATAAAACACACATAGTTCAGATTAAGGAAATGTTTTTCTGCTTCAGTACAACACATGGAAACTCAGATAGAGTCAGACAGACTTCACGTGACTCTTACAAAGTAAAGAGGATGTTAGGTTGATGTGCTTGTGCAACATAGAGCTTAGGATACTGTGCATACAACACAGCTTTCACATAACGCACAATATAATAAAGGAATTGATAAATATTTAAGTGTATAATCTCCATGATTCTGTTCATGTATTTTGCTTTATTTGCAGAGGAAGCTACAAGCCTCCTGTTTGAACAAAATCCAAGTTAACTTTAACATTAGCCCAACTCTCTACAAGGACAAAAGACAGTTACAGTTTAGGATTTTGGGGTGGCACCTTGGATGGGCGATTAGACTCTAAGGGGGCCTGTGCCACCCCTGGAGTTCCACCTGGAGACACCCCTGTCTGTTGAGCAAACATTAATACATGCACCTACACATATAGAGTTAGTAAATGATGGCAAAACAAATCAGTAAATGCACCACTCTAGCACTCCAACATCTTGTTTTGACATTTTAAAGTGAAGAAGTGGTAAATCTCAATAGAAAATCAATAGAAACACAGACTAAAGTTTATGTAAGAGTTTGACAAATGCAAAGCAAGTAGTTCGGTACATTGAATCCCACTTTATCCACTCTACTCCTGTTATGAAATATTGTATAAGTTTGGCTTCAGTCCTGCTGGCCATGTTTTCAGAGAGTAAACAGCACCAAAGCCAATTTGTTCTGTGATATTTTTACCCTCCCATTCACTTCTCGTCCTTCACTTTCTCTTTGTACTGATGGACTGTTACTGTTGTCCCTGCTTTTCTTTGTGCACCAGTTTGAACTTGAAAACTTTGAATTATTGATGTGCCCACACACACGCCCTCAAATCTCTTCTTTATCTTGTTTTCTGGAAGATTGAGACAGTGACATCTGCCGCAACTGAGCACAAAGAAAGGGCAGACAGTACGCTCTTAAACATCCTTTAAGGGTTTTTTGTACGATGAAACCTCAGAGACTGAACTCAGCACAAACTCAATGGAGCGAGCAACACAGGCCCTGCAGTTTGTCAGCTTAAAAATAAAAAGTGCTGCTGTACAGTGAGAGCTCCAAGAACTAGATAATCATCCAGGCGTGGCCAGGGAACTGATGAGCACTGGGGGAGAGGTGTCAAGGTGTGTCAAGATAAATGCTCCGCTCTGTAAGGTGTGGCACACAGAGGGAAGCCAAAGTGGATCCTCAGAATGTGGATTTGGACAGCTTTACTTAGGTCATGTACAAACACAGGTGTGTGTGAGTGTGAGTGTGCGTGTATTAGAGAGTGTGCGTGCACAGTGTCTGCCAGAAAAGAAGTGCTGGAATAACACTGTCGTCTCTCTTTTTCTCTGCACCATCTCATTTAACTTCATTTGCTTGCACTCAGAGTATGAGTCACCGTAATGATTTGCATAAATGTACTTTTATATTATCTACAGCTTGTGACATTTACATGCACACAAATAAGCTTATAAGTATCTAATCTCTGGAGTTATGTGATACTTCAAGCTCTTATTAGCAGTTTTTTGACATTTACAAAATAAACTGAAATTCACACTGCTGCTTTCTCGGGATAAAAAAGCAAACAAGACCATCAGTGGTGAGACTAATGATTTTCGCATCTCACTTTCTAATGCCTGAAACTGGCATTAGGGTGTAGGTGTCAGCTGAGCAGCTAGTTTTACAGTTTTCATGATCACAGTAATTGATATGTGTGACTGTCAAGGGTCAGCAGTGTGACATTTTTTTGTCAAAAGTCACTACCTAAGCATGTAGAGGACAAAATATACAAACTGTGGAGGCACCAGAAATTATGTAAACTGTAAGGTCCTCACAGGAGCTTTAAGTGTTTATATATACAGCATAATCCAAAATTCTTTATCAGATTAAGGGCATTATTTATTCATGAAGAATCAGATTAACACACCTGGTTTTTTTGGCCAACTATCTGTTCTGTTCAGTGCGTTTATACAGAACAATCTGCTTTCTCTTGTCCTATTAAATTTGCATATAAATAAAGTACATTAGCAGGACAGAAAATTACATGATGGAAGTAAACACATTAGTCTGACTAAATTACATCTTTTAAAGTTGGACTAACATCCCAAGACAATGTGGTCTGGGATTGATTTTGTCTTTGGCTCAATCGGACTGAAAGTGTTCACACTGAAGGATGAACAGCATGGGTGTGTTTCTAAGAAGATGGTTAGCAAACAAAACCGGTACAGACAAAGAAAGGACAGACAAAATAGAAATTTTCCTAACATATGGAGCTGTAAAAGTGACAAAGTTATCATTGTTTGACAGACATCCTGTTAGCCTCTTTCTAATGGTTACATTAACTGTTCTGTTGCGTAATATGTTGACCAGGAGACGACCTGATTGTAAAGAGCTGAAAGGGGGCATATCACCACCGTCTGTAGTGGAGGTGGACATGCCTCCGTCAATTATTCTCTCTCTCTTGTAAACTGAGACAAGGACAGTGATCGTCATGGTTGTAGCTTTACTTAACTGTGCATGTAATATACTGAGTGTCAAACAGTGATGTAGAGCTGTTATAAATGAAGACACAGACTTAAAAACTACTTCCAACCCACAGATTTCATTGAACCACGACTGCTTTTATAACTTCAGAAATGTTTTCTCAATAGTCTCCAGCTTTCCAGCTTCATTAGATAGAAAAGCTGAAGAGAGAAGGATGAAAGGGTCATGGTCGGCCTTTGTACATGAGATACTCAGGAAGCTCAGCCTACTCTTTCTTTATAATGTTTATGCATGTATGTGTCTTTTTGTGCATGCACCTGTCCACATACAGAGCAAGTACCCTCTCACACATAAACCTGGCTCATGGGAATATTTGAAATGCATAGCACTCTCTCTCTCTCTCTCTCTCTCTCTCTTCCTCTCTCTCTGTATATATAAAAGGAGTGGTGGAGGATATTAAAACACACTTTGTTCATAAACTGCCGTTCTGTCTGTCAAAGCGGGTGTTTGATGAATACTTCATGAGGTCTGAAGTGAAATGAGATTTTCTTCATTAAATGAGAATCAAGAGTCCATTCAGCCGTTGAGAGGTGAAGCATAAAGCAACGAGCTGACACTGAGGACCAGTCCATGGATAATTAGTTTAATACCGGGAAGAATGTCAAACACTTCTGTGACTTCTTTACATTTTGGATACTTATGTAACTTTCAGGGCATTTTAATTAAAGAAAATCTGTCTTATTGCTAAAATATATAATTACCATTAACTTTGGAGAGTTTGGGGGTCTTAATTCTTTATAATAATAATTCAATGGATATAAAAAAGGACATACTAGATCTCCACCCAGTCTTTCAGTAGACAGATAAATGAAATCTGCCCATACTCTTCAAAAAGAGAATGGTGTTGATGTTTTTCTCATGGAAAGTTTTATTGTATAAAAAAAATGCGTGTGAAGCAAAAGTGACAGTTGTTTCTTTGGTGGAGAGAAGCTTAACTGCAGATGGAGATGCGTTGCTATGCAACTGGGATTTCAAAAGTACTTGCAGCGCCAGGGTCACATTTCAACGTCTGTCTCCATGAGCTTGGCAGGAACTGATGACTGCTAATAACGCTATTTTTAAAGCATCTCATTTGCAGCCCTCAGTAAACCTGAATACTCTATAGCATGTATAGTGCACTGAGGATGTGTTTCTGCATATCATTTGAGAAATACGACTTGTGTCTTCTTCTCTCTGCTTTGTATCAGACGCTTTTCAATCTTACTTTATCATTTCAGGGACATGCTGTGACTTAGTGGAGCTGCAAACATTCAGGTTGCCTTTATTGAAAGTGAAGAATAATCTGGGAATTAAATGTTGTTCCTGTCAGTAGTTTAGGATAAAAGTAACTCCTAAATAATAAAAGAGAATTATAATCAACCCTTGAGAAAAGCACCATTTTGTATCTGAATGATTCACTATTGACTTTCCTGTGATCTTTAAAAAGTTCAGACCAAGTCAAATCCTTTAGAGCCCCACACCCCAGCTCTTACTCTCAGCCTACAGAGGCGTTACATGGAACATTTATGAAATAGATTTGTTGTTTGAACAGGATTTTTCTCACACTTGTTTTTTCACATCTGAGGACTTTGAATAATAGTAAACAGTCAAAAAGTCTTTATGATCAAGAATCAAGATCGTAATACTCACTGCTTTAAAGATCCTATAAGGAACTTTTGGTTTGTGTCAATTATGGCGCCCCCTGTGGACAAAGCAGACTTTGCATATATTATATTCTACATGCTTGAGGAGTGTCTTTAGACAAAAAAATCACATCCTCCAGACTTTTGACAGCTGAATATATCATTTAATAATTGTACTTACAGATTTTGCTTCACATGCTCCACTTACACCTACCTCCTCACACCAATTTCAGGCATTATATTTTTAAATATAAAAATCATCAGTCTTGTCGCTGATGGTTGTGTTTGATTCTGTGTATCATAAAAAGTCATTCATTTCTGTTTTTTTTTATGTCTAAAAACTCCTCACAGGATCTTTAAATTAGATTTCAGATAAGAGGTAAACCTGCGTCCTGAGTTTTATATGTTTTGCAGTGATAATCAATAACTCGTGTGTACAGCACATGGGGGTTAAATCTCATAATTAAGATTTTATGTCATTGTTTAGTGGCTTGTTTTGATCTGTGTATGAAAAAATCTCAAATAACTGCAGAGAATTGAGTTATTTGACCGCTTATTGATGCATTTATTGACAACTCAGCCTGGCCCTTACAGTCTACATACTACAGGAAAAGTCAATGTATATTAAAGGAAAGTCATGTCATAAGATAAATTGCTCTGGAAACAAAATAAATCATATTTAAAAAAACAAAAATATTGACTTTTTGCAGCCTTTTCCGAGGAAATCTTGCTGTGATGGACGTTTCTCACCATGAGGTGCTTCCTCAGGCCTCCACGGGCCGGTTCACCGCATCAAACCACATCCGAGCCTTCAACTAACACACAGCACCTTTCAGACACGGAGGACTACAGGGAGACGGAGAGGTCAGCAGCACAGCGGGTGCAGCGTGTGAAGTCATGCACTGAGAGCACCCAGGAATGACCTGGAGAAGAGGAGACAACTTTCCTTTCTATAATTTAATCTGGAGTCGGCTACATGAAGAAAACTCAAGCATGATAGAAACACACACAGTCATTGTTTCTGAGGTGAAAAAGGAGATGAAAAGAAAACTTAAAGCAGGAAACTTTAGCTTAGTTTGAGCCTGGCTTTTAACGTTATAGTGATTTCATTCAGAACAAAATGGCTGCAAGAAACAGCTCCATGTCTCCTCTAGGTGGCAGTGTTCCCTTCTTTATCACTCATGCTTTCCAACATTATTAGGGACTCTCTTTCTCACCACTCTCAGCAGGCTGCACTTGTTAGTGGTTAAACTGGTGAAAATGACAACAAATGCACAGCTTAAAACGAGACATCCAAACACTGCTGTCAGAGAGAACACTTCGCTGTCAGCTGACTGTAATCTCTATTAACCCCATACGGAGCACGGCCTACTGTTCCACTAATGTGATAACAGCAGATTTAATCACTTGTTAATGATTAGCATGGCAGAGGCAAACACAAATGAGCAGGTTAATATTGTCAGAAAAGACTTGTGATCAGGAGTCAGAGATCCAAAGAGCTGGTCTGCTGAAGGATCCCTAAAGAGTGAAACCAAACCAGGCTGAAACGAAGAGTTTTCCTCCCTCTCTGGTTAAATCATTCATGATTTTGGTTCGCTGAGATCAGAAATGTGATTTTTTTTGCACCTCTCACCACACCACTGATTTCTTCAGCTCCAGGAGTCCAGCTGTGTGTTTGCACCGGGTGAAAAGTCAAACCACGGTCAGTGAAGACCAGTTTTTGGAGTGGTTATCATGACCTTTGACCCCTCAAGAAGCAAAAGCCAAAGAGAAACTGAAGCTGTTATCTCTCAGATTTATTTAAATGTTCCTTAAATGATTCAGATTAGAGTCGAAAAGTGTTGAATTTTCAGCTTGGCTGGCACAAACAGATGTACAAAGGGCTGTATTTTTGTATTTCTTTACACAGAGAGGAAATTGGCTCTGAATAAAAATCCTCAGTACTTACTCACTCTTAAACTTTTATCTATATCCCATATTCGTGCGGCTGCCTCAGGTGTCATCTTTAAGCCTTTGGCTGCGCTTTACTTCTTGTATTGATTTTAAAATCCTTTTTTTTAGTTCATAAAGCGCTGAATGGTCTGACATCAGACTGCATCTTAGAGACAATTTCAATTTATACCCAAGAAAGGCTCTTCAGATCCCCTGACACTTCACTTTTAGCTCTGCCTCAGAGAAAAACACAAATGTTTTGAGTTACTACTTTCTGCCTTTACTCTCTGAGATTATAAGGTTACTATAAACCAGACGAAACTATCTTTTTAGCCTGCTCCAAGTAAAGTGCTGCGAGGGGTGTAGGCGTCACACCTGATGACTGGCAGTATGCTGAATATATATATTATTTGACTTTTACCACAGTAGTTGATAAAGTAATTGAATAATTTGACTGTTTAGAAGACAGCTGGATGTTCAGCAGTATACCAGGCCATATTTTCCTGTTTAACTGAAGCAAACAACACTCCAGCTGATGGCAAAACCACCACAGTGTAGCATCCACCAACATTTTCTTTATGAAGAGATTCACAGGACTGAGCAGTTATCTATGAGATGATTAACAGATCTGTGACACCAAGAACTTATTTGACTGTAAATGTCTCAGAATTAAGTCTACTGTCTCTGCTTATGATATAAAACATTAAAGCTCCTGCAGGGAGTTTTTAAAGGGTTGTGAAACAGACTGAAATGAACAATGATGAGGTACTAAAGCAAACTTGACATTAATGATTAGAACGAAAACTTCTACACCGTATTTTTAAGTGCCTTTAACAGCCGTGAAGGGGGTAGGTACGTTAAGATTTTCAGTCAGTTCATATGTCTTTCAGAAGAATGAGATGAACCTCATCCACATCAATCTAACACAGACTCAGATTTCCTTACAGTAGCTTTAACTGCAGCTGATTACACGTCTTTTCTGGTACTTAAATTGTGTAAACTGTATATAGTTTTATTTCATTTTCTTCTCTTCTTTTCCTTTTCTAATTTTTTTTCTTAATTATAACATTTAATTAAGTTCTTAATATGCAATCTTTATTTTTATAACTGCATTTTTGCACTTTGTCTGTGATGCTGCTGTGACAAAAAAATTTCCCCCATGGGGATCAATAAAGGAATATTCTATTCTATATTCTATTCTATTCTATAAATGTACATTTTGCATGAGAGTAAAGGATGGATAATTATGATAGATTATGCTTTTATACATTTATAATCCCCCTTTGTTGACATGCTGCATATTATGTCTCAGCCAAATCAGTTCATACTGCTGGTATTGTAGGTGGTTTTAAATACAGACAGAAAGTCCTCCACAGGAGCTTTCATCTATCCCATGTTTCGTCTCTTTGCTCGCTTACTTGATTGATTGATTGATTATTGATTGATCGATTGGTGTAATGATGAAACTTCAGTCATGCAGTGAGGTCTACAGGTAGTTAAAGCAGGAAGGGTTGCTGCAGCTCTCAGTTGGTTCATCCTGTGCAGCATGAGTCACCTCCATTATCTGAGCGAGGCTGTTCATTTTGTACCTTTCAGCTGGTTGCAAACTGCTCGGGAATGTAAACAATGAGACAACAGATGCAAATCAAAGGCTTAAGAGGAGAACAGAGAGCAAAAAAGGTACATATTTCAAATCAACAAAACACTCATTTCAATGGTCTTGAGTAAAGGAGAGAGAGAGAGAGTCACAGTCTGAGATTTTGGATAGACCCCTTTATTTAAGGTTAAATAACAAACTGAGAATCCTGAATCGGAGCTAGATCCAAATCTTTGTTACCTACGTCCCTTCCACATGTTGGACTGTTTCTTCTCTTTGCCAAAACGATTACATTTCCATCTTCTAATTGGCATTTTGTTGTTTTAGTTTGTAAATTTTCTTATTTTCATGCTGCAGGGATAATTTTCCACACCCAAAGGTCAACAACCCATCCTCAAATATTCACTGACATTATCATGAGTGCACTTCTCTGAGGAAAAAGAGTGCTCCTCCTTTTACTGCTGACTTTACCTGACACTTACTGGATGACAGATTATGTCAATTCATTATATTTGTTTTAGCACTATGTTCTGCCAAATTAAATTCCTGTTCATTTATTACTCTTGGCAAGTCAAAAATAAACGCAATTACATAGACTAAAAACAGAAAACGTAGCCAAAGAGGAGATTGCCAATAACTCAGCAGAATTCATCCATCTGAACCGATTAAAACTGCCAAAAAAGAAAAAGCAGAAGATGAATAATGTAATTTTTCAGCTAGCAGAATCCTCAACATCCCTCCTTCTTCATGTTATGGAAAACACTCACAGTAATAACATCTTGTATCCGAGATATTTTTTTGTAGAGCTCCCTGTTTATTAATTCCAAACAAACCAGGCCCTGCCAAATACCACTAAATGATTAACAGAACATCTTCTGGGAGGCTGGAGAGATAATTTGGGGATTAAACTACTCCACTCTCACACTTTTAATCCATTTTCTGTCTATTTTAAATTCAAAGGGATGAAAATGAAATTAAAATGTAGACCAGGTCGTCACATGGGGTAGCATTTAGTCTGAAAAACACACTTCTTTATGGCACACGCTCACTGAATTAGATTTTTCTAAAGAAATTAAGCAGTGTTGTTGAAACAAGTTAAGAGTGCAGTGAAAAACTATCAGTGTAGTTGTTGGAGTTGTTTTTTTACGCTACAGCTTTGACACAGTTGCCTGGCTTTAATATCACAACACCATCCTGTCCAATAACGTCGCTGTTGTCTCAAGTTTCACGAAATATTTTAACTTGAACTTTTTAGTTTCTTTTCTCCTCTTTTATTCAACAACTTTCAAGTTGACGGTAAAAGTTTACTTCCAAAATATGAGCACACTGAATTTTATGGACAAGGATATGATTTTTGACAGTGTTTTACCAAGTATACACCAGGCTGAGACTGTGCAGTGCATTCTTGTTCACTCAGAAACTGTTTGTAAGTCTGTGTCAGTAAATTCACCTGCTATCCTGGTTTGTCTGCTGTTTCCTGTCTTCACATATTTCTACTGTAGTCCACTAAACAAGCATAAGGACTTGGTTTAATTAAGACTCTATATCAGAAGCGCATACCTACAACATAATAAATGATAAAAGTTTACAAAGGGTACAAATTTAATACCTAATGTTTAAGCAGTATATCATGGAAAAGCAGGGGACCGAGTATAGATACTTGGGGTACTCCAGATGTTAACTTTCTGTTTTTGGACTCCTTAAAATTCCTGTGAATTTTTTTTTTTTTTATGATCATAAAATAGATTGAAATTCATATCACTTCCTTTTTATGACATCGAAAAGCAAACACCGCCATCAGCGACAAGATTGACAATTTTTATGACATTATGTTTTTTTTTTTTATGTCCTTAGTTGGAGTGAGGGGGAAGGTGTTAGCCGAGCAGCTAAAGGTTGTTGAAGAGAAACTGTTTTCACAATTCCCATGTAAAAAATCCACTGTTAATAATACATTAGGTTGTAAAAAGTCAGCATGATGGGATTTTTTATTATTTTTTTTAAAACTGCTACTTCAGAATGAGGAAGACGTGATAGGTAAAGACAGTTTTGACCACGGGGGGCACCAACATTGACTTAAATTGAAAGATCCTCATGGGGCTTTAAGACAAACTGACAATGAAGACTCCAACAGTAAAGACAGAAAAATACATTCAAATATAAACGGCAGAATAGCCTTAGATCGTCATTAGCTTCCCTTAGTTCACAGATAATTCATCCATTACTTTGTAAAAAACACTTAAGCTGGACACACTCATCTATTTTGTAATTATCCATTAGTTTAGCCTCTCAAATTAAATAGAAATAATCATATTTATAGATATTTAATGGTAATACATAATTAACAATATTGCAGTAGACTAGCTGTTTTCATATTTCAGCATTAATATATCGAAACTTCACTGCATATCACTGTCATCACCATCAGTCTGTTAAGTTTATTCAGTGCACTGTTCAGAGGAGGGGAATCCCAACAGCGAAAAAGAAGCAACAACTTGAAATTAATTTTTAACATGCTTCATTTTCTTGTTGGTTAAACCCTCAATCTCTTGAAAAATTCTGTTAACAGCACTGAGCTGTGAGATGAATTTATCCGAAGAGCTCAGACATGCACATAAATCTGTCTCGGTTAGCAGGAACTTATTTACATCGTTATTAATTAACTAGAGCGCTTATGTGCAGTTACAACCCAACACAGACTTTTGTCTTCTCTAATTCACATCGACTTTATGACTGCTGCAATAAAACTGAACTTGTGCAGCATTTGTAGGAGTTCAGGGAAACAGTTTAAACATTGTGTGTAACAGAAGAGACTTCATCTGATGAAAAAAACAGTCTGACTGGATATTCAGCCACAACAGTTCTTCGTATACGGCTGATGATGCACTTGATATTAACTTGATCATAAGTGCATATTTGATGCAAAACTCGGTATCATTATTTTGTGAATTTTTGTAGCACCCACGCTCTCTCTGATTTCTCTCTTTTGAACTGGTTTCTACAAAAGGACGGCTGCATATTTCACGAAACTTTCTCTGAACTCTTTGCTTCAGTTTGGGCGATAACCACTTTAAAGTAGCATTTTGCTCTGCATCATTATCCTGCCCGAATCTGTTATAAATAGCTCTGCAGATAAGGATGTTTTATAAGGCTGCCCTTGATAATTCATAAATAGCAGCAATAAGGTCTGACACTTAAGTATAATCAACAGACTGGTTACCAGACTAATGATAATGACCATTTTATCAGCTTTAGTCTCAGTTCAATCTTAGATTCTGCATCTTAGAGACTTCATGCTGTCAGTCACCTCTGATGTGAGTCACCAGCTGAAAACCTCCTACCCGTTGATAGCCTTGTACATTTTTCATATCATCCTGTTTGTCTGTTTATCACAAGTGTGACTCAGTGCAGCCTGTACCTTGGCAAGCCCACCTAAGGCTTGAAACCTGTAAGGTTAAAAAAAGAAGAAAAAAAAGGAAAGAAAACAGCCTCCTACTGAAGTGGAAACCTAAATCCAAAAACTGGAAATGATTTGAGAGGGGAGTCAGGAGCTACAAATACTCTGTCAACCTGGCCGCCACTTTTATCTTCCCTGTGGTCCTCTCTGACCGTGAATCTAAGATGAAAACACCCTCAGCCTCTGAGCTTCGAAAAAAAACAGCAAAATCCAGCAGTTTTATATCAAGTTTAAAGTTAAAACAGGGTGAAAAATATTAGAACTGTAAATAATTTAGTTTAAAACACAACTTTTCATTTTCAATATGTGATATACACCCAGAGAAAGCTTTAAACCCCTTACCAGTCTTGGTACGGGGCATAAACCATAAGGAACAGTGTGCTTGCTCAGAGCTCATATTTTATGTTATCGTTTTATTTTATAAGAATGAAAAACTTTGGTATATTAAACCGTAAAGTTTGAGCACCAGGGTTAACACAATACTCAGAGTTACTGTGTTATTAATCTATATCTTTGCTCTGCAGTCTTGTGTGTGCCACTCTTCCTAATCCAGTTTTTGAAGAATGTTTTATATTGGATTACTTCGCTCCCTCTTATTCATAAAATGATTGTATATTACCTTGTGGTAAGAAATGTAGGACGTGGGTCTGACTGAATTGTTGCTCTGAATTGTACATTTTTGAATATTCTTGAGTTAATTGGGTTTAAAGTTAAGAAATGAGATTCCTCCTTGCCACATGCTGCTTTTGTCGACCAGATGAGGTGAGGACAAAAATCTTGACCCCCTTGTCTTTACATGTTTCATTTTAGGGATCGGCAACTTCTCTGTGCTCCCAAACTTTCCATCTAATCTACAAAGGGTAAAGTAAAAGTGAGAGCAACGTAAGGGAAGATGGAGAGAACGCTTCAGTTATTGTTTAGGACAAAGAAAGCACAATACAGCAGGCGTCCTATTCGTAATCTGATCTCGATCGTCATACTAATCATGATTGTGAGGTCAGTGATTTAGAGGCAAAAAAACGATGTAATAAACTGCGTAACATGGACGCAGCCCCTGACACAATAGTTACATCTTGTTCAAAGAATTGGTCGTAGTTTGACTGAAACTGAACTTTTCAAACAAAAGTGAACACATCAATCCGACTGACATCGCACTAAATCAAACTTCTCGTGGCTGGAGTAACATTAATGTAGTTGGGGATCGGTTTTATCTGTCGTGTATGCTCTCCCAATGGACCGAAATTCGCTTTAATTTTCTGCAAACGCTCAAAAACTTGCTTTGGCATGGAGGTCAAATGTGGTAAACGCGTTACCAGGAAACTGGGTGGTAAACAAACTTTGAAAGACGAGGGAAGGATGTAGAAGAGACAAAACTATCATAAAAAATGAGACAAATGATTCAATGTGTACCTTGTAAGCCACTTGCTAACTCATTTTTTTTTATTGTTTTAGTTCATAAAAGGTTAACTTGGACACGACCAAGTAGTAAATGAGCTGAAAGGACGCTTTGAACCAAAATTCACTTCTTTCCTTGTGTTTGTAAACTGGGACAAGGACGGTTGTCCAGTTAAATTTCCATAACCATAGATCAACGTAACTGTAAAAGTCCTAAGTGACAGTTTTTGAAGGGGAGTTATAAGGGCAACGATTGGACATGGGGACTCCATCTAACGCCTGACAACTCATGGTTGTCTTTCGAATGTTCAATCTGTATGTATGTAAGAAATGTACATGAACAAAAATAAAGGACCTTCAAAAAGAAAAAGAGGGGCTGTTTTTATTTATGCAAGTTTAAAAAAATACTTTTAATTTGATTCATGGGTTTTTGACACCCCAGATGAAGTTTGAAGACAAACTAAACAACTATCAAAGGTTTTCCAACCGGATCTTATGCTTGGTACCTCACTGACAGGTATCTCTAATCCCACCACAACACACAAACTTTACCTGCCTAACTCCACGATGACTATCACACATGAAAATCTTCATCTTATGTTTCATTTAAGAAGAATATGAGAACAGGCTGATGCAACAACACAATAAGATCAGTCGTGACTCAATTTATTCAGCTTGTGCACCTTAAATTTGCATTAAACTCTGTTATTTGTCATCTTCACTGTCTTTCTCTCAGATGAACAGTTCTGTGATAAACACACACCCACGCGCTCGCACAACCAAAGCACATGGTCATTACTTTTCCCGGTGCATACATTTCCACAGCTAATCCTTTGATCTGAGCCGTGATTTTTAGGGAGCTGCTGTGTTCTCTGCTGCCTCGGGCTGCATTTGAGTTCCATTATTTATCAGCGAGTGTCACGGGGCCCGGGCGGGAAAAGGAAAAGGCGAGGGAAAACAAGTCTCATCTCCTATTATTCTTTGATACACCTCCTCGCACAGCAGACAGGCAAGCTAGCATGCTCAGCGTCAGTGTGGGTTTTAATTGGTGTGTTTCAGTGAGCATCAATGCTCAGGCTGGATAACATCTCCCTCTGTCCACTGGATGAAATGAAAATAATAAGTTTGAGCTACCAAGTTTATCAGCTTTAACATATGCTATATCTGCAACCATTCAGAGTGACTTTAATTAAAGGTGCAGGGTAATACCTGGAGAAACTTTGACTCTAATCGCAGACAGATCAAATCGGCACATATCAAAATAATGCATCGGTGCTGAAAGAGTCATTAAAAGTTTTCCAGGCATCACCAATCTTGACAATCACATGTTTGAGTTTATTCTGCTGTATGTTTGACATGTAAAGGAGTGCACAAAATATACACCTCACTTTATATGTCCCCCTCAGCCTTCTCTATATTATATGTGGAGCCAAATTTGATTAGAAATGCTGATAAATTTAATTTATTTTAACGTTTTCTTGTCTCTCCTTCAACCATTAGTTTCCTGGTTTTACCAAAAGCTTTTCCCGCCCTCGTGTTTTCTCTCTGTGCTCCCCTCCCTGTCGGTAAACACCTATTAGCATGGAAATTGTTGCATGATTAAGAAGAAATAGGAAATCTCTGAAACTTTCATCCATCATTACTTTTGTCAGATCAAGTTTGATTTTCTACATTTTTTGCATCCGTTGGATGTGCTGACAGAGGTTTCTGAATGAGAAAAAGTGGACAACACTAATCTCTTAGTTTCCACGGATCGATGTGTCCTTGTCGATTTTCAGTACCTGGAAGAGACAATTCTGCAGTTCCTCAGCAGGTAAAACTCTCCCTGCTCTGTCTTTTTATCAGGACTGGATGGATTCAGTGTCTCCTTTTCTTTTTTTATTGAGTGAAATAAAAGAACCATATGATCATCCTGACCCCTCTATTAAACTGTTAATGGAATTTTTGCAAATTAACAGAAAAATAAACACACCAGACTCAATGTGCAAAGTTTCCATGTGTGATGTTTCTATCAGATTATGAACCTGTAAAACATGTCAGAAAATAAACAGACTCGATGTGGAGAGACCTCTCTTCTCCAGCTACCCATGACCCTGTGCAACGCCTGACACAAACTGTGCAATTGAAAAATTAACTTAATTAAAAAATTATCTAAAAATAAAACTTTTGAAAAGACCAAAAGATCTCCCAAAGATTTTCCGCAATCAAGTTGACGCAGAAGTTCTGAAGCCACAGATTCCAGCAAGAGTCTGGTTGAAGAAGAAACAGAAACCAACTTGTTGGTAACATATCTGATTCAGAAGCCATTGAAGTTACAAGGACTGATTTGACTGACAGGTGGGCGCCATTTGTTGGAAGGCTAACCCGGGAATTCCACCGCATCTGGAACGGCTCTGATCCGGAACGGCGGTGATTTTCGCCATATGCCAACTCCTACCGGATCCGTTTGTGAGACGAATTTTGTGGCAGATTACAGACAGCAGTAATCGTGAGAACTCACAAGAACCTACGGATTCACGTGTAATCGCACGATAACAAGTTTCTTTTAGCCACATAGGCTAACCATAAAAGCAGTAGAGTGTCCATCCAGAGGAGGAAATCTACTTCTAGACTTCTAGAATCAGCATCTCCTCATCCATGGTGTGATCAGGGGGACATGCTGTCTAAAAACCTTTCACTCGTTCGTCTCTGTACGTTTGCATGGTGTGAAATATGATCTGCCTGAAACAGGGAGTGTTTTATTTTGAAAAGTAGCCGGATGTTTTATTTTGTGTCTGTGCTCGACTTCCTTTCCAGCACGGGTTAATCTCTGCTCAATTTATACAGCATGCTCCGGTGTCCGGAAAAAATAGAACTCTTGTGATCAGCTGTGGAGTCCGGCGATCCACAGCAGAACAGAATGAAGCCGGTGGAAACTGACACATTATTTTGAGTGGTTACGATCAGCTACGATCGGCGGATAGCCCCTTTTTGTAGCCGTTCTGGATGTGGTGGAAATTGGGGGTAAAGACCCACCTTTGACCGCCAATGGACTTCAAAACTCTGCGTCACAACCAAATGTTCACGTTATTTTATGAGCTTGTGAAGTCCTCTTAGTGTAATTTCTGTTATGCTCACAGATACCATTTTACCATTTACCACAATGTGAGATCAAGCTGTCATGAAGCAATTCAAAACCATCCTTGTGAGTCAAATTGGGCCAGATTAGTCTCAAATTTACAGTGTGTACTTGTGGTCTATGTGGATAATGGTATGGCTCCATAGATTCAAGCTTCTACTCTCCCTTTCACTTGTACAGAGTGGAGACAAGAAATCCCAAAGGTTTAATCAACACAACACCCAGGTCAGGATATTTCATCCTTTGGCACCGGCTGTGTACACACTGTAACACAAGTTTAAGACGCAGTGCTCTCAAAAAGACAAAATTATACCAAATGAGAAAGACTGTACACTTAAAATTAAGACTGAAGTGTAATTTGGTTCCACAAATGGCCAGTTGTGAGTGCGTGCAGCAAATCCAGATGCATGCAGATGTAATTACTCTCCTCTGTCTGCTGTAGTAATGGCTTGGGTTAAGAGAGTAAACAAATCCTGCGGTGTGCTGACAGAGACAAATGACATACTTTGTCTCCTACCCTGAGCCCTCATTCTTTTCCTCTGTGTCCAGCTGCGCCTTACGTGCACACAATTCTGTTTTTTCATGCAGGAGCTTCTGATTTCTGCGCTAGTCTAGAAGATGGAAAAGGAGGACTGAGAGGAATAAGTTGCTCTAATTACCTAATTGGCCACTTGTGGTCTTTCCTCTGTGGAAACGGCCATGTAACGTCTCTGTAATGGGCTTCATCTCACACAGGTGCTTTAGCTCTAGACACCAACACAGGTGGAGGGACTTAGTCTTCCTACCACAGCCATTTTCTTCTATTTTTACTCTCCTCTCCTCCAAATTATCGATATTTGCTGCCTTGTGAAAGGACAATATTTGATCTAGATTTAGCTACAGTGTGTAATATTTCACATACCAATACAAGCTCCAGTAATGTGTGTGTGTGTTTAAATGACTGTACATTATCACCCTTGTTGGTCAGCACCATAGACTGTATATACTATGGACAACTTGGCTCTGCCTTCTGTCATTATACCAACTTGACACCAAATAGCTCTCGGTATTTCCAGGATTTTCTCCACTTCCTGGAATCACCACTTGCGTAGTGGCGTTGTACACATTCGGCAGGAGAGTTGCTGTGATGACGCTCGGCTCAAACAGCGTATACCCCGGGTGAGCTACGCAATCTTCGTGCGTCCATACACTAGGGTGACCATGTGTGACCCGGACATGTCCTCTTCTTTGGGGGCTGTCCGGGTTTGTCTAGTTTTGTCCGGGAAGTTCATAAAATCCCTCTAATGTCTGCGGTTTTGTGTGTAAGTTGCCAGTTTGTGTCAGGTGGACTTACTGAGTTAGAAGCGTGTAAGAGACACTCGTTCCAACCTGAAAACTCTCAAAATTAACTTTGTGCAACACCATGACTGCGCTCCCACGTAGTTGTGTCCTCTTTTTGGGAAGTCAGAACATGGTCACCCTACCATTGGCTGAATCAAGTGTCAATCATAGAAAACATGAACCCCCTGATAACTTTGAAAAAGAGGATTTGAGCTCAAACCAGTCTTACAGTAACTACATGTCAACATCGCAACCAGGGGTGAGAAAAATTCAAAATCTGTGTAATTGATTTTTAAAGTTTGTCCACAGCTCCATAGGGATTTCTGGAGGAGGCTGGATTTATGACCTATACTGCAGCCTGTCACCAGAGGGTGCTGTTCTTGCGGTGGCTTCACCCAGCAAGGAGGCAGAGGGTGTCCATTCTATGTATTCTATGGTCAGCACAAGAATTATAAGCTGGTAAGACTCACTATAATATCTTTATTATTAGGGCCCGAGCCAGCTGCAGAGCAGCCGGGCGTAGGCCCTATTATTCCCCAAGTGGTTTTTCTTTGTTTCTTTCTTTCTTTTTTCTTTTTCCTCCCCTTTGAACTGGAAAATGGCCCACTTCCCACTGGCGAAAACTCATGAAATTTGGCAGGACGACCGGGCCTGGTGAAAAATTCGATATTCTGAAGTCGCCCAAACAATAAAATGCAAAATGGCTCCATAGCGCCCCCTAAGGTGGAAATTCACACTATTGACTGTCACGCCTGTACGCTTTGTCATATTGACACAAAAATTGACACACATATGTATCTCAATAAGATCTACAAAAAAGTCAGTGCGGCCGTATCTGTCAAAATTACGGTTAAAGGGTTATTTCGCATTTTTTGCCGATCCGCACACATTGGAATTTCGCTAACTCCTCCGAAGGCTTTCGTTCCACCGGCACCACATTTGCTCAGGCCAATCTACAACCCGTGGCCATTAAAAGTTATCAAAATCATGACGCTGCACGCCACGGTTTACGTTCTAGGGGGCGCCAAAGATAACACTAAAATCCACATATTTAAAAGTCTTATAACTTTTTATTTTTGTCCTCACTGGCCTCCAAGTTTTCTAGGATGATGCAATGTCCAGCCATCAACACATTTGTGAAGGAATTTTTACTCCCCAAAAGAGCGCCCCCCCCATGGCAGGAGAAAAAAGTCCATTTTTTCTTGTCCCCTAAGGTGAAAATACACATTGTTGAGTGTCACGCCTATACGCTTTGTCAAAATGACACAAAAATTGACACACACATGTAACTCAATAAGATCTACGAAAAAGTCAATGCGCGCGTATCTGTCAAATGTACGGTTAAAGGGTTATTCCGCATTTTTTGCCGATCCGCACACATTGGAATGTGGCTAACTCCTCCTAAGGCTTTCGTTCCACCGGCACCACATTTGCTCAGGCCAATCTACACCCCATGGCCATTAAAAGTTATTCAAATCATGACGCTGCACCCCACGGTTTAGGTTCTAGGGGGCGCCAAAGATAACCCTAAAATCCACATATTTAAAAGTCTTATAACTTTTTATTTTTGTCCTCACTGGCCTCCAAGTTTTCTAGGATGATGCAATGTCCAGCCATCAACACATTTGTGAAGGAATTTTTACTCCCCAAAAGAGCGCCCCCCCATGGCAGGAGAAAAAAGTCCATTTTTTCTTGTCCCCTAAGGTGAAAATACATATTGTTGAGATTCACGCCTATACGCTTTGTCATATTGACACAAAATTTGACAATCACGTGCCTTGCCTGGTATCATTTTTTTCAGCACAACCTCACCTGTGCGAATTTACAGTTATTTTATCATGTTGACATACTGAATTTACACAATGGACCCAAATTCACACACAAAACATAAAATCCGAGTGGAAAAAAGTAACATTTTTACTGTGAAAACCACAAATATGTGTGATGAACTGTTTTTAAAACTTAAACTTCAAATAAAAATTGTAAACTTCAAAACATATGCAAATTTTTAACAAAGAACATAGTGATTTACCTCTATTTACATCAAAATGCAGGCAATGGCCCAGGCGTTCTTTGTAAAATTATTTACAAAACACTGTATAGTCTCACAAATGTCACTTTTTATTTATGCCACTACAAAAAAACATGATGTAAATGATGCATGATGTAAAACATGATGTAAAAAACTTGTGTAGATCCTCCTCTATGTCAGTCCATGTGTAATTTTTCCATAATTCTTTGTTTTTTGCAGCATTTTTGTTAGTGTAACTGCAGATTGTGCTGACAGTGTCTATGGCACAAAAAAAAAAAAAATTAAAATGCCTCAACATGAACCCCTGGTGGTCTCTGAGGGTGAAACCTGCTAACTGCTGCAGCTCTGTCAGCTTCAGTCTCCCATGCAGAGCTCGGAGCGCATGTGTGGCTCTGCACCCTTAGCAGCGTTGCTAACTCCTCAGTAAGGAAAGCCTGCTTCATGTCAGAGTCTCTAAACTCCAGAAGAAGTCGATAAAAGTCCCTTTCTTTCTAAAAAAGTCGTTAGGGGGTCTGAAAAGTCATTGAATCTAACAACAAAGTCGCTAGGTTTGCAACTACGTGTCCCAGACTGCATCCCTGCTGAGAGTCCCTCCCTCCCTTCTCATGTTGCAGGAAGAACGTAAGCGCCCGCCCCTTGTCAATCAGTCACCATATAATTTTGGATTGGTTGTTGTGGTGAAGTTTTCCACCAATAGGAGAGATGTTGTGGTGTGTTTTTTTTTTTTCTTTTGGCAAGCCTTTTCCGCCTGTAAGACCTGTCGCTAATGTCTGCATGCTATGTTTTCCTGTCTCATACAGCGCGATCGAGCGCCGAACGTGATCAAAATAAGCAGAAAAAAAGTATCGCAGACATAATTTATCATAACTCTGGTTTTATTTGGCCTATCAACACAATTTAAAAACTGGTATATAGGTTGAGGTCCTCACTTTTGAGATAAGTTGAAACGGAGAGTCAACGAGGCTCCGTCTTGCAGCTACATCCGGTTAAATATGTCATGTGACTTGAACGCACACACACACACACACACACACGCACACACACACACACACACACACACTCAGAGTCTGGTTTTTAGCACCTGCAAAAACATGCTATTTACATATTTGACAAGAATGCAGAGGCTCCTTTTGCCCCTGAAAAAAATCAAATTTCAAACACAACTTGACTGGTCATTTCTCCAAAAGACAACCATGAAGCTCCATCCAAACCTGAAGCAGGCAGTTGGTGCATGTGTACAGTAACCTGAGGGGAGTGAGGTGAGTGCTTCTGAGGAGAACATGAGCAGTGAAGATTCACCTTGGAGCTAGAACAGAGACATGCACATGATTATACAGGGGCAGGGGCTCAAGTTTTTTCCAGTCGTTTATACAATATGGAAATTAATGTGAAATTAAAACACAAAGTATTAATAGAAAGGTAATGACTGTCCTGTGTAGGTGACAGTGATATCCAATAGGCTAGGCACTCACGAGGCTGGCTGTAGCAAGTGTAAGTGAAAGCAACACGCAATGGCAGGAAGAACAGCAAACGCCGATGAAGGAAAAGGGTCTTTGCAGTGATGGGCGTTAACAGAGAGGGCGATGGCCAGAGGACACAAATGGGACGGGGAGGCAGCACATTGGAGGGGGGGGGGGGGGGACGCGACACGGCTCGGGCCCGCCAGTGCCCCAACGGGGTCCTAGTTTCTGTTAATGCTAGTCATAATTTTGTCTTAGCTGTAGCACAGCTAGCTTCAGTAGCTACCGCTAGTGGCTGTTGCTAAAATGCTATAATGCTCTACGACCCGGATGTAAACCAATGCACATGACAGACGACATCTTGCAGCAATGCATGCTTTGGCAGTGTTTTGATCCTGAAAATGGAGATAAAAATTTTAGCTGGATGTGGCTTGTTGACATGGTTTGTAACCAATTGTTGTATTTCTTTTCAAAGTTTCAAACATGAATTGGAAAATAATGTTATTGTGATTTTTTTGGCTCCAATGAGGTGAAATTCTGATATCTGGACAGCCCAAGATTGAGTGTGTCAATACAACAGACTCAGATTATTTATGTAGCATCCAGAGCCCCCTGAACTATCCATCAGCCTTCATATCAAAACCTTTGACAGGGCTTGATCACAGAGTGAAGCAGAGGGAAAGATAGAAAAGAGGAATGGCTGTGGGTGGAATTCATCTTCGGACCAGACAGCAGGTCTTTAACAAGGCCTGAAATATCTCCAGGCATTTTAATGGTCAGTTTCCAGGTCTCAACACTGGCTCCAGAGAAAATAGCAGCCTTTGTAATGTCAGAGATAGAGACAAATAAAAGAGAAAAACCCTCGTATACTGAACTAAATCTGATGTACGATGTCGTTTAAGAACGTAGAATAAAAGGGTAAAATGGGATCAGGCAGGAGGAGCCGAAGAATAATTTATTTGTGGCTATCTTTCAGAGTATAAAAACACAAAAGCGTCATAATGAAAAGTGTCTCCACATGTTTTACAGCAGCAGCAGCAGCAGCTCTGAATATAAAAGTCTCTATCAAACATTTTCTGTTTCCGTACAGCTCACAGGAGTGTCGCTACGTTGTACTTCAGAAAGGCACATTTTTTCTACTGTGTGTTACTTTTTTACTCAACTGTTGTGTTATTCTTCTTCACTTTCTCTCCTCTTTCCTCTTGTGTTTTGAAGTGTAGCCAAAAAGCCTCAGTGCAAATGGCTCCAAGGACAAATTCATCTCTCCTTTTTTTCATTAACTACATTCACAGTTGCTGCGTGGTCTTCAAAATCTGCTTTTTGTTTGTTTGAAAATAAAACATAGTGTTATCTTGAAAATGTTTCAGTGAATATGATCAAGTCTGAATTCCTTTTAACTGGATTCTGCTTTTATCTGCAAAATTAAGTTTAAACTGTTGGGCCAAAGACACTGCCGTCACATCGGATACATTCATGTGTGTGTTTTTGTGTGTGTTCTGATTGGCCCTCTAAAAATCCAGACTGAAAACCCCTTGGACAGGGAATTTTGTATGAGATGTCTGTCTTGTGTTTGGAAAGCTTCCTGTTGAAACCCACAGAGCTGGAAGGTTTGCCTCAACAGACCTCAGTGACAGGAGCTGGCACAGTGGTTGCTTAGCAACCAGTTGCATAGTCTCAGACCAAAGATGCAGGCTCAAAAAACATAAACCCAATCTTTCTATTGTACCGAGAGAGCTTTCTGTCTGCAAAAACAGCCTTGGAGTCCCTGTGTGGCTCTGATGACTTTCTTAATGGCTGCTTAGTAATTTGTTTGTTTTTATTAACAATCAAGACATGCTTGAAATTGAAAACAGTAATAGCCTGTGTACACAGGCTGTGTTTTTTAAGCAAGCAGATTTTTGTAGAAACAGAGCTTTTTATGCTCACAGCATCAGCTTGTCGGTAACACTTCTCCATCAACCAATCAAAATCAAGAAGTGGAGAACGTCCCAATATCAGCTTAGTCAACAACGGCTGATGGAAACTTATCCTGATGGGTTTTCAGTTTTAGCATTTTTCGAGCTAGCAGATTTTTGTAGAAACAGAGCTTTTTATGCTCACAGCATCAGCTTGTCTGTGTCACTTCTTCATCAACCAATCAAATCATATATTATATCAGCTATGTCAACAACAATGCGTGATGGAAACTTATCCTGATGGGTTTTAAGTTCTAGAGTTGCTCCTAGGGCCAAGAATCCTTTCCTCTGTTTTCCACAATATCGTATAAATCTACCTTAAAGAAAAAGCAATTATCGAGCATACAGAGCAATTTTAAAACAGACTTATACATGCTTTGAGTTTCATCTATTAGATAAAGTTCTAGGACCTAGTAGATGCACTTAAGCAACATTGTGAGATGCTTGAACAGGTAAGGGATTGTGTTAAAGGACCTTGCGCTCATAGCTACTGTGAGAAGTGAAAGTGCGAGGACAAAACTTTCCTATCCGATAAACACATGCATACAACGCAATGGAACATTTGTATCCCCATCCCCAACTGCCCCTACACTAATGCTTATCTTAATCCATGAGTTATAAGTAAAATATCCAGGGAGGGACTAAGAAAAGGCGTTCATTTTCATTGCTGTCTTAATGTTTATTTCCATCTACAGTATAAAGCCCACATGAGCAGCAGTGACCTCCCCGTCCCTACTCTGAGTCAGAGTGATGCAAATTCTCCAAAGTTCATCCTTATCAGCTGGTGGGAGACGACAGTGACCTTCTTGGACTGATTTACTCTGAAACTGAACCATGAGATCATAACAGACTCCTCTATCTTACCCGATGTCATCGCTATAATCGCTGTGTGGGACACCTAACCCCCCTATGTCTGCGGACAAAATTTTATATTTCACTTCAACTTATTTACTCAAATTGCTATAGATGTAGATGTATTTTAATTTAAAACTTTTTGGAATATACCATATTTTAGTCATTCATTTTCCCCATTTTCTGAATCTATACTCATTTCTGCCGGAGTTTTGATTATTTCTCTGGGAATACATTTTAGATAATATGTTGCATGAACAATCTTTTACTAATTATTTGTGGACTGAAATAACAGTATATGCTGGATAAGGGATGGGGGGTGGCAGGATAACAGTATTCAAGTTCAGAATCAGTGATTTCACTGTTTTATTATCAGCCTCAACCCAATGTATGGCAGCAAATGGTCGATCACTCACAGAGTGTGCATGAGAAACTAGTGCTGATGATGTTCACTTTAAAATATTATTTTTTACTAAAAACTAAATACATCAACAGTAATTTCTCCAAGTTTGAAACCAGACTGAATTTTTCTCTATTGCAGCCCTGGAGCAAGATGTTTTGGGGGAAAGGTACGAGAAAAGTCAAACAATAAAATATAAAATAGACGGTTTAAGACGAGTGGTAGTTCAAATGCACGGTCAGACCCACACTGAGCACTCATTTTCTCACGATAAGAAGCCCATTCTTGGTTATTTTCCACTCAAACCAGCACAGATGTGGACACAGAGTGGTCAGAGCCCCAGTGGTCAGGGGTGTGGCAGACAGTTTGGAGGAGTTTGTTTTAATATGTGAAGTTGGAAAATCCTCCGGGGAAATATCATGGATTGGGCTGCAGATGTTTCACTGTGTTTGCATGCTTGGAATTGGGGTTGGGCCCTTTGATCTAAATGAAAATGCACCGCAGAGGTTTGCAGCACGGCGAGTCAAAGCTCTGCGCAGAGAACAAATCAGAAACCGTTCCCATCTCCGGATTTTCCCAGGTTTCCCTGCAGAGGTACCTTCTGTGATCAGAGACCTGGGAATACCGCGGACTGTCGCCTTGATCCATCACTCCCTTGGCACGGCCTGCAACCATTTGGCATCTCCTGTGGAAACACGAGGAGCCTGTGCCAGCAGTGGCAGACCACCAATGCCTGCATACTTCCTCCCACAGAGTTCATTTTTATATCAACTCTGCTCTATCATCAGCGTGTCGTTTCACCACATGTAGGATGCTCTTTCGAGTGCAGGAAAGTTAAACAATGCACCAAACGACAGCAGATTTACAACAAGGAAAAATGAAGTGTCTCCGACCCCGCTGGCTATAAAAATAGTAATTGCTTATGCCTACATGTGTCAACTTATAATCAAAAGAGCAATGACGGTTTCTTTTTTTTTTTGGATTTACAAAAAGAGAAATGAGTCACACCCTCACCTATGACTAATTTGGTGCAGCTCACAGTGAACCTTTGCCAAATGCAGAACAAAGAGGGGTGGCTACTGTATGTGGTTAGAGTAACACTTAACTTTAAGTACCTCATATTATGTCAACCATAAACTTAGATAACATCGAGGGAACATTTAAAAACTCAAACTTATTTAGTTTATTTATGATAAATCATGATCTACTTTACTAAATCTTTAGTTCTGTACTTAAAAAACAAAAAAAGGAGGATTTACAAATAAATCTTATCCTGCACACTCTTGACTGTACTGCCAAAGACCAGTCTCCTGCAGGTGATTCTATCCCGCCTGGCTTTTCCCTCTGTGGATTTGCTCTCTGTTTTCCTGTTATATCTACCAGGTTGTCCAGAGACATGATTTATTGGGTTACTTCTGAAAACAATTGCTTGCATCAGTATAACGGCTCATATTCTAACAACAAAGTTGGAAACTTCTTTTCCTCTAAAAGGCAGGAAATATTCCCATAATCAAATTTTAAAGGCACCTGGAAATCATGATTTAGTTCAACTTCTTCCTCACTGATCGAAAGTGAAATGTTGGTCCAGGAAAGAAGAAAATGTTCTGTCTACACCCTATAATGGCTCGTATGTTTGTGAAGTGCTGTAAGACGGTCAGTTTTGTGGATTGGTGCATTTTATTTAAATTTTCTACAGCTTCAACTTGCGACAGTTGCTACTGGCGACAAAAATTTTCCAGTTTTTTTTTTAAGATATATGGAACTTTATATGCATGCTGGCATCTTTCGAATGTCAGTGTTGAGAATTTAAATGCATGATTATGAAGAAAACATGTCCTGATAAGATTGTGTCCGATCCAAATGTGAAAAAAGGACAAAAACAGGGAGCAGACTTGAAGAGCAGAGAGCACTAATGATATTTTTCATGAAATAGCAGAGGATCCAATATTGATCCTTGTGGAACACCATTTCCAATATTCAAAATCAGTGGTTCAAATTCATGAGGCTTCAGGTCTTCAGTAAAATAAGATTTAAGATCAATGTAAAGCAATTTGTCAAACAAACAATATATTTGACAATAAGTAAATCCCAAGACACTTTAGTGGCACTATCCCTCCTTCTGTAATAGAAATAGATACAGTATACCTGTTAACTTGATATACGATTAGAGGATTACAGAGGATTAGGGTGTTTTACGTCATCTTTAAAGACCCACCTTTTCTCCCTTGCCTTTAAATGCACACAGAAATCAGAGACACTGTAGCTTTTATTCTTTTACTGTCTGTATTTTATTCGACTGTTTTTAATTTTATTTTTATTGTTATCTATTTATTTACTTCTTATTCCATGTACAGCACTTTGTTTGACTGCTGTCTTTTAAAGGTGCTTCATAAATAAACATTGACTTGACTTGAGTACAATACATGACTTTGCTAAAATGCCTTGAGTGTATATTTCCAGACTTTCCCATCTAAAATGCATTATCTACAAAGTGCGTTGAGTCTTTCTCTACCAGATTTGAAGGTTTTAGGCTCTTGGCCTTCAGGCATCTTCACACTGCATGTATCTGCAGGTTTTGTTTTTGTTTCTTTTATTGAGGACTTTCAGTACTTAAGGTACTTTGAGTTGAAAATGCTGCATGGCAAATGCACCGTCAACATCTTGTAGACATAAAACATCTCCCTTACACTACCCTGAAGTTATTTCCTCGTTAAATAAAGGCTCCTACCACGGATGCATTAAGTTGTAAATGAGCTGAGCCCGGGCCCTATTAAATGTTAAGTCCCATCACTTTTGCCACTGTAATTCTCAGCAGATCAATTACTCAGGTTCAGCGGTACGAGCTAAAAGCACCTTGTGCATCCTGCTGTGTTGTATAAACCTCAAACACATGTGGAGGTGAAGCTTTTATCAATTAGATGGAATGTAAATAATTGTTTTGTGGTTATAATAATTACCAAGTGACTCACTCACTGCTGAAGTTAAAAGCAAAGTCGGGACCTCACAAGCTATTTAAGACACTGCAGGCCATGCCTGCTCAAGCTAAACTCTTCTCGAGCCAAGCACTAAGGAGCCAATAAAAACAGGCTCATTTAAGCTGAACTCGGTTGGCACAGTGCACCTCGGATGAAAACAGCCTCTACACCCTGTCAGATTCATGTAGAGCTGTGCATGTACAGTTTGCATGAAAGACAGAGAATATAGCTGGATATAAAGTGACGTTTTATGAACATTAATTATGAATTACAGCAGGAACTCGACTTTCTGATGCCAAAGTAATCATCACCGACGTCAACAGTGCATTTATCAGCTTTGACACTTCCAGAAGGTATAGCAGAGAGCTACTTTGCTGGAAAACCCCACCTTTACGTAATAAGGTATTAACATGTGATCCATCCCACTTTGAAATTCTATTATTTTGCATTTCAAAACATTTGAAAGTGTGTATTACAGCTCCAAACTACCTCTTTGTGTTTTGTACAGGTCCTGTACATGATAACTGTTATTTCCAGCGAAAGAAAGGTGAATCAACCACCCAGGAAGTCCAGATGCAGCTGATACGTCTTACTCTGTATACATGTCTGTAAGTTTAGCCTCCAGGTGGTAGCTCAAATTTAAGGTATTTTAGTGGATTCTTTATTTTATTTTATTTGACACAAAGTGCATATTCATTTTGTCTTTTCAGCTGAGCTGTCTGGTAATTTTGGTGCCATTTCAAATCCTATTGAAGACATTTTCTTTCATTCGGCAGCAGGAAGCAGGAAAGACACTGCAGCAGCTCCACTACAGTGTGCAGAAAGGGACAACATATAGCACAGAATTTCAAAGACAGAAATTCAACAAAGTAACTTTTCATCATGATTAGTTCATTGATTCTGGCAGCCTTAGTCCCACCTCTTTTACCCAGACCTTAATGACCTTATTTTTAATCATTCATTCAATGTTGGTTTGAATTCCTGACTGGTTGAGAGCACAGAAAGTACTATGCCGCTGCTGAAACTGCAGCACTCAGTGTCTGTTTGCTTACGCAGGTTTCAGGCTTGTATTTTATGGCATCCATTAACCTCCAACTTGCTCAATAATTTCAGAATTACACTACCATTACCGAGGAACTCTCTCTTGAACAGAAAGATAGTTTACCTCTCAGAGAAATACAACTTTTGTTGGAAAGCAGCAGCGGTGCACAGGTCCTATCTTGAAAATACTACATGCTGTGGGAGCCAATACCTGGGGGAGTCACAAGGCTTTGATGCTTTCTCAGACAAAAGAGCAGGTCAATTATTTTTTGGACAAGTTTTTCATTTAATAATTCTGTAACAGTTTTATATAAAAATGTTTGATCTTATCTGAGTCAGACTTCAAAGACGCTTTTACGAAGAAAACTTCAGCTTCAGTGATAAACTGGAAATGGAACACCAAAGTGGAAGATTGAGGGGTGTGTTTCTCTCTTCATCAAAGGTTTTTCCCTTTTAAATACTAATTGCAAATCTCTCAACAAGCTACTGCAAATGTCGTCACTGGAAAATGATAGATGCACCTGCAACAAAGGACGGATTCACGATCATCTCTCCAGCTGCATCAGATTATGGTCACAAACGGGATAAAAATCAGTGATTGCAAATTTACTGCAGTAATGACACATTTGCTTTACACGTCAAAAATGATCAATAATCACGACGTACCAAATGATTCTTCATTTTACTAAAATATATTTCTTTTTCAGTATACTTGACACAAACTAAACTTAGACATTCAATCTATTTTTCCTTGATGGAGCAATCTGACCCCAAACACTGTGGCTTTTCAACACCCATTATCAGGGAGTGTTTGCAGACGTTTAATAAAACAATGGTAAGCACTTTGAGGAGCAGTCTCTGTTGCACTTGATGGGAAAATAAGTGTTACCTTCAACAATAGATGCGTCCCAGTGCAGGAAGTGCATCTTGCCAAGTCTGCTATTCAAGGCCAAAGACGACAAAACAGGTCAATAAAGCAACACAACCGCCTTTTGTCCCAACATGGGGCAGAGTCACGCCTGCACTGACCCATTTTTAGCGTTTAAGTGGTGATCAGTCATCCACTGGAGGGTATGAGTCAGATAAGCAGATAGCTGACTTGTGGTCATATAATCTGGATTTTATCTGAATTCTGTGGTAGCTTTGGAGTGATGCTTCATCTGTTTGTCATATGGTCTCAGTTTTATGTTAAATAGTGTCACATAGTTGCTGCAGACTGGTTTAATTCAGCAGAATGAGCCTGATAAAACAGATGTTATTTACAGATTTTAAATGCAACTGATTTTGCGATAGCATTACTCTTTTGCTTTCTCGTGACCTACATGGCTAAATTACGTTATCATTTTAATGAATATTTAGTGGGAAACCAGCACACATATCAAAACAGTATGGTAGGTTGACCATATTCTGACTTCCCAAAAAGAGGACACGACTACTCGGTTGCGCAGTCACGGAGTTGCACAAAGTTAATTTTTAGAGCTTCTTCGGGCCGCATCAAGTGTCTTATACGCGCTTCTAACTCAGTAAGTCCATGTGACACAAACGCCAAACTTCGGTACAAAACCGTGGACATTAGAAGGATTTTATAAACTTCCACAGACAAAGCCGGGCAAGCCCGGACAGCCCCCCCAAAAAGAGGACATGTCCGGGTTAAAGAGGATATATGGTCATCTTAACTAGGAGCAGTGGCAGGAAACACTGAAATGATCAGACTGGGCCATCTTTTGTAAAGCTAAGAAACTGTAGCTAATCAGAGTTTACTAAATTTTGCTGTTATTGCATTACTCATTTTAATTAATATTTTTACCACATCACTTTGAATCCTGCAAAAACTTTTCTTGATCTGAGGAAAGTATTATGAAAAGAAAGATCAGATTTTTGTTGATTTGTTTCAACAACAAAGTCACAGAGCTGCACACAGTGGCCAATGGTGCTCATGGGAATTGCAGTCTCCAAAAGAACACAACTGATTTGGTCTTCAGGTGTCATCAGAATCAACACAATATTAAAACATCCCACATTACCTTAAACAAACTAAATTTACAGTATCATAGGAAGTTTGGAGATCTCATCTTTGAATGGCTCTGGCAACACAGTGTCATTGTGTCGCCAAATTGTCACTCAAGTTGATTAAAAAAATAAAAAAAATCCTTGAACTCACCCCGTTTTGCTTCTTGTTTGCATTGTCCGAGCATCATTGGCCGCCCCAACTCGCTTAAGGTCTGGAGATCAACAGAGAGCGCTGGAGACGACTCAGCTTGCTTTTCTTTCCCTTTTATTGGTGTTGGGAGCCAGTTGCAGTCGCAGGTTGAGAACCTCAAAGGGAATAAGTGAAAAAATCTGGCTGTCACTAAGTAAGCACAAAACAAGTAACCTCATCAATACTCATTTCAAAGTACATTTCAAACTTGATATTTAAGGTTATGGTCTATTTAAATCAAATAATTTCACTTTATGAAAGCTTACATGAGTTTAAACTACAAAAAGAGACCAAAAGATAATCAGAAAAGTGTCAGACCTAAACCACCAGTGCCACTATATTAGGTTAAACACTACATTTTAAATTTAGACTTAAATTATCAATAAACGCACACATTTCAATCTCTCAGTCACTAAATTAAAGTTATCTTGTCAATTTGATTAAATTAAAGTTTCCTCACCACTGGCGTCTCTGAGGTCTCCTTGCAGTGATGCCAACAAACACTCTCTCTCTCTCTGTGACAAAATGGTGACACACCTGTTCCTGAACCTGCTGATTGCCTCAGCCCTACCATCCCCCACTCTACCTGCATTTGCCTGCACTCTTCTCTGCCTGATGTGACTCTCTAACGGGAAAGACAAAGGCCCTGTTTATACGTACCTGGTTATTTTAAAAAACGGAAACATTAACCATCGTTTGCACCCTTCGTTTGGACTCAAACGGACAATTCACCCCTGAAAACTACAGGCATGGTGGAGATTTTGGAAAACTACGTTTGCATGTTTGCACATTTGGATTGCCGACAGCAGATTGTGCGCAGGAAATGAGGAAGGCACAATGTTGTCGTTGCTGCTATGTGGGATTCTGATTGGCCAACATGGGCTTGAGCTTCTCGCTACACTGCCTCCCACATGTTTGATATGCTCTTGACGGCATATATGTAAAGGTTAGTGTAAATGAAAACTTTTCTGACAATGTCGTGGTGTGCACGAAGTTTTTTTTTGTAAACGAAGAAGGTGAAATGTCTGTTTATGAATATGCCGGGCACGTGGAAATGTAGTCATAAACTGCTGCAAAATAAATTTAAAGTCACATAAATGCAAATAAAGAATTTCTCAAGGCTGTCCTGACATGCATCAATACCAAATGTTTCCATCACCTGCAAGAAAACATCCTGGGATGGAGGTGACTTCATGATCTTTAGGCCAGTTCCCATGTACAGTCCATTTGGAGTCAATTTGCAGTTGGAGCGAGCTTCAGATCCAGGACTATGTGGAGTAAAACAGACTGAAATGCTGTCAGGGATCACACTGTTAGCATCTGATGTTGATTCAGCCTTTTATTCGCTTTTATAACATGACAGCAGATGGGTTCAAAGATTAATGATCCCCACCATCTGCTGCTACTGAACAGATGTATCTGACTATATAAACTGATCAGTTTCATACTAATCTACTTTGGACATACATTAAATAAAGCCTGTGAGCTAGTTCAGGCAGGCAGTTCAAGCTGTGTTGACCTCCAAGATTGGCTATTTAAGCTACAAGGTTTCTGACATCAGTACTTGTTTGCTTTTTCCATCACTGCCGTAAATAAGATCAGATTTTCAGCCACGTCATGACCCCAACACCCACCATGTATCGTCTCAACACTACTAACTTTTAAACAAAACTGTAAAGGGTGATAATCTTAGAGTTCAGATGCCAAACTCAGGCAATGTCCTGCTGGTGCAATTAACAGTTCAAAGCATGAAGCTGGAGCTGTCTGACTGAAATAAGAAAGGTGAACAGCGACATAAACACCCATCTGGCCTTAAGTTTGATCGTTTTCTGGTCTTAAAAGTTTACAAAGACTTTATTTTGGGTCTATTTGAGATCAGACTATTTCTATCTGGGAGAAACCTGACCTTTAAATATCCCATCAGATTTGGTTAAAGTCAGAAAACAACTTTGTTTGACTCAAAAATTATTTCGACGGGTGTTAAAATTGATCTTGAAAGGATTTACAAGACGGGTTTTTATTTCAGTGCATCGTCTGCTGGGAAAAAGGGGCAAAGGTTAAACCGGCAAATAATAGGTTCCCTTAAAATAAATTTGCTGACAAGATATCTGAAAAATCTCCTCATAAAAATAGACTCCGTCAGGGGAACATGAATCAAAAGTGTGACATAAATTAGATTACATTACACACTCCTCAGATCCTTCAAATAACCACAGCTGAAGATTCGTACCAACACCTGCAGCCTAACTCCCCTCCTGCTTGGAGGCTCACAGCTGCTGATCAAAGACAAGAGTACCCCCAAGGACCAGACCGAGTATTAGTAGCTGCAAAAGCTACCGCAGAAAATAATCTAGTTTGGGAAATGCACAAAAAAAAAAAATGTAATGAGCTTAAAAATGTGAAACCAAGACAGAGGCAGGCGGAGAATAACACTTGGCATCCTATGTAGTCTTTGGCCTGCCTTCAAGGTAAATGTTGCCCACCATAGTGTCTCAGAGATGGTGGTATGTTCAAACATCGCTCGTTCTTCCTTAAAAGGAGGCCAAAACAGTCTAAGTTTATAAGGCCATGAGTTGGGAGAGTTTGTTTTAGCTTCGCTCTGGACTTAATTTGAAATACTTGTCCACGTTGTTAGCGGAGAGTGGAAACACAGAGCGGCTGACTTATTCAGGGGGCTTTTCTTAGTGTGTGTGTCTCATTACATAAAACAGGATATTTAAAGGCAGCCTGCAGCTTTGGGTTTGTGCTCTGTGCTCCACTGATTTAAGTCAAGAAAAACATTTGCTTCGGATTAGTGCAGCGCTGATGCTATCAGCACTGAATGCGCTGATGTTGGGTGTTCACTGGTACCTCGTATAATTTAGAGTGATTTTGTGTTGAGATTTTCCAGAAGCTGAAGAACGGAGGGAGTCTGCAGGAAAGAAGACGCCCCAAGTCATCAGACGAGACCCGTTTCCTAAATTTGTACACCTTCCCTGCGAGCGTAAACTGACCCCAGCTGTTGTGTTTCCTTTTTTTTTCTCCCTGTGACCACATCAGGCGAGTGGATTTTAAGGAACTGGCTCAGCGCTGCCTGGACATGAATGGGACATTTAGAGGACTGCTGACTGGGAGCTGTGTTGTGCCTCACATGTGGTCCGTGACCCTCGTTTCAAACGGCGTTGAAAAAAGAAAACAGGATGCGTAAAGCATCTGACTCGGCCCATTTGTGCGAGTGACTAAATGTGAGGCAATGGGGCAAGTCTGGGCTTGTTGGAAAGAAAATAAATGACTGATGGTCGGAGCCTGCTGTGTTTGCTCTACTTGATCAAAGTGCAAAGAAAAACTTGAACCTAACAACTTATTTATACAACCCCAATACCGATCTGAAATCTGGAAAAATCCCTCTACAAAAGGGACGAGGCTGAAAACCAACACCGCAACGACGTGATCCTCGGGCCACAAGGCAGCGCTGCATTAAAAACAGATATGACTCTATCGTGGAAATCACTCAATCTCAATCTCTTAAATTGCTTCCTAGGTGCACCGGTTGCTGGGGTGGGGAGTTTGGGTTAAGGGATGTTGGACCAATGAAACAGTCTGGTACCTGGACTTGTAGTGTTCCACTGTGCTCACGGTGCCTGTAAAAATGTAATGTATGTTGGGTTTGGGTTGTTTTTTAGACTAGCACTTTAAATAAAAAAAAAATAAAAAAAAGTTGACTGGATACGGGTGCACTGATATGGTGTTACTGTGGGGTATTGTGTTTATGTTGGTCTGTTTGCTTAGGTTTGTTTAATCCCGGGATTCCCTTCAGGACCCCGTTCTTGTGGGGGTGGGTGTGACGGTTCCCTGGTGTCTAATGTATGCTTTTCCCTCTGTCAAGCAGGAGGTTACCAGGGGGCGGTCCGATCGGTTAGTGAGGTTGGCAGCACCTGGGCCCGGTGTCTCCCAACCTATAAATACCCCGCCTTCTCCACCAGTTCTCTCTCTCCTTCCCTCCGGGCGGATGGCTTTGTCTTTTGTTTTACGCATCCAACACCCTAACACACATTATACCCCGTATTCACTCATGCATGCACGCACCTACACAGCTGATCTACTGATCCTCACACCCCATGACTTGTTTGTGTTCACCACCTAAGTTGCTGTTATACTGTTTTCTTAATAAATTCATTACGTTTACGTTAACTAGTGCATCTTCCGTTGTTTTTGTCGCGGCTGAAGAGCCTGGTCGTGACAATGGGTCCAAAATCACTTCCAAAAACCACAGTTAATCACTGCATCCACAAATACAGATTAAACACTTCCATGCAAAGAGTAGACCGTACATAAACGGTCCAGAAACACCATCTGAATCAGGTTTTATTCTCTTAAAATAATCTAATTATGAGTCTCAAATATTTACACAGGCTGTCCTGACAACTGATCCTCCTCTCAGCTAGTTCGGACACGATCCTTACAGTGGCAGAAAACATCCCGTTAGTCTTCACATCATGGTATTAACTGAACACAAGGGCTTTCTGTCACCCACAAGACAGAGATGGATGGTTTCTAATGCCACCTTTATGTTTCTATCCATAGGTAAAAAGGTGACATGGCACCTTATGTAAACCGACCTTTTCCAGCTAGTGTTATTTCAGAGGCAGGTGGGAGTACCTTAAACTCTATGGCCCATACATGCAACTGTGGATTATCGCAGGAATTTAAGAAAAGGGTCGAGAAACGCAGGAGATCTTAATACAGATATTACCGAGTATTAAAGAGATAATCTTTTTCTGTTATCACATTCTCAGAGCTGACAATGCCCTCAAGTTAAAACACCGGCATGAAAAATTACTCAACAAATGGGAACCTGCACTCTTAATTAAGAGGAACGGTTTCTAATTGCAGCATCGCTAATTTTGGTTAAATCAAAGACAAACGTTAAATATGCAAAACTCTCTAAAGAACCCGCATTTAAGAAACAGTAAGGCTTTACGATGTCGCAGGACTGTGTAACAGGTTTTTGGAAACATCTTCGCTTGGAAATATTACAGAAAAAGTGAAGATGTGGTATTAGTCTTTATTTATTGAACTACTTTGATTCTGATTGGGCAAAACCATTTAATGGTTATTAAGTCTGAATAGCAAAAGTGACCCCAGTAGCAACACATCACATCTTATCACAGAGAGGGGCGGTGGCATCATTTTTTTGTCCAAATAGACTGAAGCAATAAAAAAAGTGTCTGTTAGCACAATATTGTATTTTGTTACATCTTGGACTGGTTGGTTATCAGTTTTTTTATATTTTCTTTATTCGTGTAAAACCCAAACCTCCTGATCTGTGGATAATGGCCTTTCAGAGACAAGCAGGAGATAATTAAACAAAAGATGAACAAAAGAGACATCCACCAAAGTGAAGAAAACACACAATGAGCAACCACTGATCGCAACATAATATAGCTGTTTAGGATCTCATGTTCTCACTTTGTGGTCCAAACATCAGACTTATAAGAGCACTGCTGCCATGAAAGTGCCACAAACCATCTAACCTTGCACAGAAATCAATAAATCACTTTTAGATCAATTCTTGGATTCAGCTTGTTTGTGTCTAAAATTGGTGCTAACTAGTCCAGACTTGTCTCACTCTTTTGGGATTCTCTCTTTCTTGACTACCTGCTCTCGGTTCATGATCTCTTAGTTGATGGAGATGTTGTTAAAACAGGTGGAAGAAGGTTCGAACGGGATCAAATTAGTTCCTAAAACAAGCTTTTTGTCTGATTGGCAAGATTTAAGAATCCTCGATTAGTCCCTAAAGCCTCACATATAGCTTGCATTGTATTGAATCTGAGATATATTCACATTTGTATAGCAACATAGCAGCATGTCGTTATTTCTGTTCCCCTACCTGATTAATTCAAGGCTGTCCACACATTAGTTAAACCACACTTTAGTGGTGTATTTACTTGTATTGTGATATTTTGACCTAAAGCGTGTTGAAAATCTGTCATATAAACTGTGTTTATCATGACGTGTCAGGCAGAGTCAGCTCGTATATCTATCACTGTCAGAGTAGCGTAGTGATCCTAGTCCCACAGCAGGTACTGGGAGCTCCATGTGAATGATTACCCACATACCCCTGGGAGATCATGTGACCTTTGCTACTGAGGGTCATATTGAGAATGCATGTGTCGCCAACATACCTGCAGCTCATCAGTCACATGCAATGGCATAGTCAAAGTCGTGCATGTGCACACATCACTGGTACGTGCTCCATTGTGTCTCTCGGTACAGTGGTGTCCAAATCCAGAGGGGCGACTACTTGATAAGTTTGATTTCCATTTGCATCAATCAAACAGGATAAACTCATTAAAACAGGATAGAAACGCAGGGTCAGCAACAGAGTCACACCCCTTTGAACATCTCATGTTATGGTTCAACCAGATGTTTAATTAGCTGTCGGCTTTTGTCACCGAAACACCTAAATTATCAGGAAAATCACACAGCTGACATTTCATGCCTGAATATGCAAAACTAGCATTAATAAGTCAGCAGTCACATGGAAGAGGGCCACATTCACGCTAACCCTAACCTTGACAAAAGTCATTTCATAACTGAAGCCTCTTACAAATATCCTTTACTCAACATGTCAACACTTTTCTATCATTTCTATGTAATTTAATTCAAAATGTGGTATCTGTACATGCTGTTCTCACACATATATCTCAGGACGTTTTCATGCATATTGGGGAATTTTTTTCTATGAGATTATATTTGACTGTTCTGGCTTGCAGCAGAGCATATTTTAGTTTTTACTCAGAGAAATGAGGGGGTAAAAAATATGTTTATCGGTGAAGTTTATTCCAAGCTTTTATTCTTGCCCTTCAGGATCATCAAATGGCTGCCAAAGAGTAAAAGAAAGAGAAAGCGGCCTTCCCCTTGGTTTGAATTCATCATTAGAGACCCACACAGTGTTGCTCCGAGGTTAACAGAACTCACTGCCAATTAACTGGATGACACAGGAACCACTAGCTTTTGACCTTTCTCTCCATTAAGGATGCATTTCCCTTACGGCCGTCAGCGGGGCAGCGTGTTTGTGAGTAATGGCATCAGCTTTAAGAGGCTTGTCTGAGCTCATCAGTCCTGGACCCTGAGTGTATTCACAACACTGCCACCATGTTGTGTGTGTGTACTGTAAGGAGATATGTTATGTTATGACAGTAGTGTGGCTTACACACTGGCGCAGATGTGTGGGAACAAAGCAAGGGGCTGAGTCTCATGGTGCTTCTTTGGCACTGGTTTCCAAACCAAAAAGCACAGGAGACATTTGTACGGCATTAATTACATGAGTTTAAATTTGGATGAGGGTGAAGCTCCGCCCCTTTTCTTTTCTTTTTTTTTGATTGGCTAAGCAGAAAATAAGGAAAGATAGCAGGAAGTGACACAACAGTTTCTTACTTCCCTCATGGTGAGTCATCTTTGATATGTAGGACAAAGATTATAAACAGACAATGAGGACAAGAAGAGATTTAAAGTAAACAACGAACATTCAGCTGTTTTTGGTGGGTCTCAGTTTCAGTCAGTATGTTTACATCAGTGGCGATTGCTCTAAGACTGCAAGGGAAGCTCGGCTTCCCTTAAAATGTCACCCCCCAAAAAAAGAAAAAGTGGTGAAATACGTACGGCTGTGTGTACATTTCATTAACTAAATACGCGCTAGAAAGCCTTCAACTTTTGTTCAGACACTGTGATAAGAAGCTGATAATCACAGGTAACCGGCATAACTTCGTTCTCATTCATCCTCGCAGCGCCTCAGCGCTTCAAACAGTCGGACGCTGGGCTTCTGCTGACTTCAATGTGGAAGCTTAAAGTGGGTTGTTCCAGCAGCGAAACTAGACGCTCATTGGATAAATGCTGGGCTTTGTCCCGCCCAATGGAAGCTAAGCTTCACTGGAGTTCTATGGCGAGAGAGCGGTCCCGACTTTCTCCCGGACTCCAAGCTTCTGCATTCATGATTGGATGAGCTGTCTGAGGCGAAATCCTTTTTTGATTGACAGCTAAACAAGCGAATCAGCGATCTTGAAGAATAAAACATCTACCAGAGCATTTTCCAAGTCATTCATTCCGTTGTTCTTAACTGCTCCAGAGACTTTACCGATCCTCAGCGACTTTTGTCTTTGTTAAAAACGACTGCCGTTGTGTTCTGTTACATACTAATAAACAAATACAATTATGATGTAGGCCAGAAAAATGAGCTTCCCCTCCTTGAAAGACCAGCAGCCGCCAC